CTAAAAATAAAAGAAAAACTCCGATATCTATAAACATGGAATATTTGGTGCACTAAATAACCTTTATGCAACAAACTCTGATTCTGTTTATTGTATTTTCCATCAATGATTAATTAAATATTACATTATTTACATAGTAATTTAAATTTTTAAGCAGTCAACCTACACCACCTTTTGAATTAGCAATATTTAATTTATACATAATAATATAATTACATTCTATTTGTCAACTTATAACTATTAATTTACTTTTACTAGGTTAAAGGAAACATGGCTGTCTGTACAAGATAAGTAGCTAGGTTAACTCAAGAAATTTTATATTCATTACCTCCTAAGTTCTTGCAATATTGTCTGTTCAGGATCTTGCTATAATCTGCAGCTCAATTGTTTTTTATAACCAGGAAGTAATTTAATAAACTTTCCATAATCAGGAAGGAAGGTTGAAGACTTGTTAAATAGTATTAAGAGAAGCACACCTACCAGCTTTTCTTTCAAGAACTGTCAAAGCACGAGAATCACATGATTATCAGACGGTCCATGATCCCATATTAGTTCTCTCTTTTTATCCTTATCCTAAATATCCCTTATGACAGGGAAATAATTTGTGAATTCCTACCCCACAAAAGAGGAATGGAGTTATTATTTTTTTAGTATTTTGCCTATCCAACAATGGCTGTATCGACATTTTCCCTTAAAATAGACAAATTCTCATTTCAAGAAATTATAAACTACTTCATTAATAATAATTCTAAAGCCAACCGATTGCTCGATTAGTAGTAATGAATTATATATTTAAGCAAACTTCATCCCTAAAGTCAGAAATTCGAAATTTCAAATTGTTTAAATTAAAAAAAAATTATATAAATTCTATTTATTTAATAGAAGGGAACTGTTGTTCAATTTGTTTTATGAATTCTCCACGTCATTACATTTGTGTGTATATATATATATATATATAGCTAAGGGCAGTTCCAACAAGAAGTCACCAGTGCTAAATAGTGACAGTGGGCCAAATTTGTTTATATATTTTGTATTGTAGGAGCCAATAGTTCATTCTTATTTATATTAGATGGATAAATTACAGTAGCATGTCACATCCTACTAAAGCTATTGTGTCCCCATTTTATCCATTTCACTCCATTATGTTTTTTTTTTCTTTTTTCTTTAAATTATATTTTTCCAATTAATGCACTTTATGACTAATAATGTGACATAACGAAGTGCATTCTCAATGTACATCCAAATAAAAAAAAATAAACTTATTTCCTTTTCTCCTTCATCTAAAATTATAAGTCACCCTCATTTTTTAAAAAAGCATAATTAATTTCTAAATTATATAATTCACCTCTATTAAATATGTTTTATCGTCAAACAAATTTTCTCATTCAGTTTTTCTGTTTATAAAAATAATATTATTATTTACTTTAATTTTTTAAAAAATAAAGATAAAAATAAAATTGAAAATAAAATAAAAATATTTAAATAATTAATATGACATTAATTTTTTCAAAAGTGTCATCTAAATAAAAAAAAAGTTAAAATTTATAAAATTTAACATGATGACTGAAATATCATATTTATGTGGATAGTTAAATAACAGATTTAGTATGCAAATGAAGAAATGTTGTATATAACTTTAATAATATTGCAAATTTCCAAAAATCAAATTATATTTTTTTAATAAGAAGACGTTAAGGTTGCAATTTTATGTGGTATACATATTAAGGTTTTCAGTCTATTTCATGAGAGGAAAAAAAAATTTTTTTTTTCGCAATTTTATTCCAAACTAATTTATTAAGTGAGTTTAATTATTAAAATTTGTATAAAAGCAATGATAAGATATACAAAAATATAAATACATTACTGAAAGCAAATTAGTTTATAAACCGGTACGTATATAAATTAATTAATCTACAGAATGAAAAATTTCACAGATGAAAAAGAAAAATAAAGGTTTCTTTCAAGTTTTTTTAATGATTATAAAAAGGTTGATACACTTTAACTGTCCCATAATACATATAAAATGGATAGAAGAACATAGGAAATAACGAAATTAATTAATAGAAAGTGGTTAAGTATTAGAGAAGCAGTCATTTTCCAAGAATAAGAAGCCATTTTGTTGGTGAATATTGTTTGACAGGAGATGGACCTATTAGAATTAATGCTGGAAGGTGAAGACTGAAGAGGAAGTGACTGTTTGTTCAAAATTTTTTTTCCATGGAAGCTGTCCAAAACCATCAGTCAACCAAAAATCATGTGATATTGCCAACTTTCTTTTCTCCTTCTGCTTAATTACTTTTATTTCTAACATTTTCCTATTTTCATCTCTCTATCCGTTCCTAAATACTTATCACATTTGAAAAAATATTATATTATAAAATATTTATCATATTTATGATTTTAAAAAATAATAAATTATTTTCATGTTTATACATTTGTATCTAACCAATAATTATTACTTCAATTTCTAAAAAAATTTAGTGTTTGGATATGTTAAATTAAGGTTGATATACTCAATGTACTTAATAATTTATTTAACTCATACAAATTTAATATTTTTTTTAAGAGATGTGAAATTTCAAATACGACAAATATTTAGAATATTAAAACGTTTACTTGGAAATATTTTTCAAACTACATATTTCCTGTCGTGTAGTTGTAATATTGAAAAAGAAATATTTTTCAAACTACTTATTTCCTGTCATGTAGTTGAAATATCGAAAATTTTATTAAAATTTTTATGACTATAAATAATTTCAAATTACACAAGTTTCATATCCTAAATATTTATTGTTTAATGTGAAAAAATACATAAAATAATAAGTTAAGATAGTGGAAGACCTATACTGTTAACTGACAATGATTAGTAAATATCGAGTATTAGAAATGATTTATAATGGTGATTACTGAAGAATAATTAATAGATTACTAATTATATGTTTATAAGGTTATAAATAAATTTTTTAATGTCTAAAAAATATTCATTTTTGTAAGGTGAAGTCATTTTCTTAAAAAAAAAAAATTATTGACTAATTTTTCATATTTCTCTAAATATCAAGAAATTCAAAAATTATTTTCAAGTAAGTTATTTTCAACTCAATATTTTTTTTTTTTTAAAAAAATCTTATACATATCTTTGATTAATCTAACTTGGATCGTTAATTTAAATACACAATTTATCTGAAAAACAAAAATATATAGGCTTTAAATTATTCCTTGTGCTCATCAAATGTACATTTGATATGATAATACAATTCCTTAACTAGAAGCTGAAACCCTAAATATCTGCTCCTCTAAACAAAAAAGAAAAGGAAAATGTAATTTCTAATCCATACTTAATATATATAAATCCACTATTAATTTTTAACCTCATAATCTCACAACGCAAAAAAGAGTGCTATATATTCATATACCCTAAACCTAAAAATAAAGAATTTAATTTTACAATTAAGAAAAATGTAAGTAAAAAATGAGAGTGAGGAACTAGGAATGGATAAGGACTTATACTTAACATCAACTAACACGAAGAAGACCGTCAACCCTACCACCACCTTTCTCTCTTTATATCAAAGTATTGTCCTAGCAGGCACAAACACGCACCCACTCAGTCATCCGCATGGCCAAACCACCGGTCCAAGTCAACTCTTGTCTTTGCTCGCCCTATATATCCAAATATTACGCCTAGCTAGCTACCCCTTCTTCTTCTTCGCTACATCTCTCTGTGTTTAATTCTTTCTCATACATTTCTTTTTTCATTCAAGAATTACAGTCTGGAATTAAAGGCTAGCAATGAGAAAGCCTTGCTGTGATAAGCAAGACACAAACAAAGGAGCTTGGTCTAAGCAAGAAGATCAGAAACTCATTGATTACATTCGAAAACATGGCGAAGGTTGCTGGCGAACCCTCCCACAAGCTGCAGGTTATTTTCTATTAATTTAACTCCACATTTATTTCCTATTACTACATATATAATTTTTTACAATTAAATTAAAAATGCATTTCATTCCACCAGAGTTTATATTTTTTTAAGATAAAATTCTTGATTTGTTTCATTTTTGTATTCTTTTAATGCATAGTAGAATAATGATAGAGAGGAAGTATTGAATTTGATTTTGAAATATATGATGGTTAGCAGGTCTGCTTCGCTGCGGCAAAAGTTGTAGGCTGAGATGGATAAACTATCTTAGGCCAGACCTTAAAAGAGGCAATTTTGCTGAAGATGAAGAAGATCTTATCATCAAGCTTCATGCTCTTCTAGGAAACCGGTACTATATTCACTCTTTTAACTTCCTCTCTTTCCCCCTTTTTTTTTTTTTTTTTTTTTTTTTTGCTCTTCTAGGAAACCGTACTAATTCCTCTTTTCTTTCCTCTCTTTCCCCTTTTTTTTTTTTTTTTTTTTTTTTTTTTTTTTTTTTTTTTTTTAAGAAGAATCAACTTTCAGCTGATAGAATCTGCAAATCAATTAATGACACTTCTATATATATATATATGTAGGAAATTCTTAAAGGATAAAATGGCTGTTAGGATTTTAAAACTTTTGATCTCTGTAACAAAGCAATGAACCATTGATGTTCTAATGGGTTTTTTGTTTTTTTAATTTGCAATTAGCTAAATGAGAAATAACGATTAGCATGAGTTACATAATAGTAGATAGCTTTGCCCTGAACCTTTTATAATTTAGATTAACCAGAATTTTAATTCTACTAATAGATGAAGTACTCAAACCTGATATTCTCACTTCTTACACTCTTAAGATATAATATATATACCAATTATGCTAAAATTGTGATCATATTCTATGTTTCATGTATAGTAAATTAAAGATAAAAAAAAAAAAAAATTCACTAATGGTTAAAAGAAATTTGATGTTTTCAGGTGGTCATTAATAGCAGGGAGATTGCCAGGAAGAACTGACAATGAAGTAAAGAATTACTGGAATTCTCATTTAAGAAGAAAGCTAATAAACATGGGAATTGATCCAAACAATCATAGATTAAACCAAAATCTCCCTCGTCCTATTAATCATAAATCAAACCTACAAGACTCAGCAAGTGCAACATCTTCAGGGTTGAACAAAAGTAAAACAAAATTACCTCTCAGTACTAGTAATAATAACAATGACAATGAGCAAGCATCTGATGCAGCAAGTTGTTTAGAGGATATTGGCCGTACATCTGGCTTAATATTGCCAGACCTAAATCTTGAGCTTACAATCAGCATTCCTTCTTCTTCTTCTTCTTCAGCTGCCAATAACATCGTTGAAGACAATAAACACAAAATCATAAATACTAGTCAGGAGTCTAAATTATCCAAGAAACGTGAAGTTGCTTCACCTACACTTGTCCTCTTTCAGTAATATTGCTGTGAAAGATTAAGTTTTGTAAATCTTTGATCATTATTATTGTTTGAGGAAATATCAGAAAAATTAAAAGGCCATCGATCCATTTCAGATCTCTCAATTGGATGAATTAATTCAATTAGTTATGTACAAACTTTATTTTAGTGTTAACATTCTTGTTAATCATCCATCAATTGTTGTTAATTAATAAGAGATTGCATGGTTGTCAATGTGTGTTGAATCAAAATATGTCTTTATGCTTTCAATTTTGTAACTATTTGTAGTTTTAGTTCTTGAATTTCCGATATGTACATTAATAATAATGTTTTTACATAGATATTAATTAGTGGATTGATGATAAATATGTGGTAATAAATAATTTAATTTAGTTTAGTTTAATATGAAAATTTATATATATGGCCTTGGCTAATTTAGCTCAACAGATGTACTTTTTTTTTTTTTTTTTTTAGCTCCAAACAGATGTAGCTTTTTTTTTTTTTTTTTTGTACTTGGTATAATTGATGATATAATACAAATGCAATAAATTAAAAAGTTAACAAATTTTTAAATTTAAAAGAACCAGTTGGAGAAATTTTATGAAAAAAGAAGCATAGAGAAGAATCTCAATTCAGATACAAGAACACAATAATTAAGTGGGGACCAAAGAGGTTATCCAAATTAACCTGCTATGGATAATCCTTGATTAATCATTTACTATCATTTTCTCCACATAAAAATAGAAATTGCAAAGTTAATAATTCCTATAAAAAAGTTTTGTACAACTTTACCTCATTTGATTAAGGACCGGACCTTTTATCCTTTTGATTTTCCAAGAGTTAGAACAGCTTAGTTAGATATGACAATGAAATTTGAATATATTACAATTACTATTAGCAACTTATACCAAACATTCAAAAAATAATAATAATAATAATTTTTACTAGATTATTGTGATAGGAGAAAGCTATATATCTAGATTATTTGTGATAGGAGAAAGCCTACATATATATATATATATATATATACAATATCTACGTACCATCACAGCCGACGAATCACATACTATTATATTCCTTAATTTCAGTGCGGTAGTAAAAGCATGTGCGTCCAAACGTTACCAACTCAACATGGATTAGTGATGCTAGAAGAAACCATATATTCCTTAATTTCAGTGGTAGTAAAGGCATGTGCGTCAAACTACCAACTAACATGGATTAGTGATGTAGAAGAAACATTTACACATCTTGGGTTTTGACCAAATCACACACATACATTTTTATATAATTCTTAGTTACTGTATGTATAATCCATATCTACCATTCAGTGGAACAGTAGATATATATATGTATATAACATCTGGAAAATCATAAATATCTATATTTAATTAAATACCCACATTTTTAGCATATTACCTTCTACATGTTCAGATAAAGGAAACTTGATCGATGAAGGTAACATAAAAAGGAAAAAGAGAAAATGAAATCGGATAGGTTAACTTGAAGATGAACAAAATTAGGCATCTGATCGGTAGTAGAGAAGAATGTTAGTTAAATGAGTCTTTCAACACCCATTTAATGCACTTTGGCATCTATTAACTGATGGAAGAAGATTAAAATTGTTGCCCTAGAACACTATTAGCTTTGCTAGGTTTTGGTAATGTCATATGTAGTTTTCTTGTATTTTCCTGCCAGAAATAATTATTTTATTAGGATTGTCCAATTTGCAAGAAATAATAATTATTGATATGTAATGAATGCCATGCATCATATGGCATGTACGAATTGACTAAGGCTTTCTTCCATTTAAAAACAGATTACAAAATGCAGATCAAAATATCTCAAAAAACAAGAAATTTTGGTCACTGACAAATCTGAAAGTTTGGCTTGGCTCCATTCGTTGTTAGGTTTGTTCCTCACCTTATTAACTAGGGCTTAATGCTTGGGGCCATATATCAGAAATAAATCTTTTTAGTCGTTTATGAATTTCCTAATCTGGGTGTGGATGATCTGTCTTTAGCCAAACTGGAGAAATAAACTTAATGCAGTGCAAAAAAGCTGGCTTATGATACCACCAAACTGCTAATAAAAAGAAAATGGTCACCTCCAGAACAGTGCAGTACATGAAAGAAAATCCTGACAAGAATTACTATTTTTAAAACAATTACGAAAGATCAACCAGAAATTGACTTGCAAACAATTAAAAATCATAGGCATCCTATGATGAGAAACAACATTATTGAAATTAATCTTCGAAATACGTTTCTTTATCACATCTACAACTAAAAGTCTTTCCAAAAACAAAACTGTTTGGTATAATACATATTTTTTGTTGTTAGTTATAACAGGGTGAATGGTCCCACGCCAATGCTACTGATCTTTGTAGTAACAGTTTCTTGTCTTCCTGGGCTGTTTGTACATGTTTTCTCTTGTTGCTTTCTTGATATTTAAAGGCAGTTTCTCAGTATTTACAGATAAGCTCAAAGACTGTTTCAATCACCTGATCTGATCTTATAGTTTTATAAATATAAACGAGTCCAATTAAATTTGATAATAATTAATTAGAAAAATGAGCTTAATTGGGTCCATTTTGGGGGGTTTGAATTTGTCATTACATAAAACCTTAAAAACAATAACAATAACAATAACAAAAGCCATATGAAGAACGTGAAGGAAAGTGTGTATCACGTTTATGAACTAAATGGAACATGAAAATGGAAAAGCATAGCATTTCCACGTGATGAGGCGCATGAATTATGTGTCACGTTTCTTAATTTATATATTTGATAATTATAGTTTCCCTTACTGACAAACGCAACTGGCCTTTTCATAAATTAATGATGTTGTTCTTTTTACAGCGTTATAAATTTTATATTGGAACAAAAGATAGACAATGACCATTTAATCATTAGTTCCCAGCAATGTAACAAAAAAAAAAAATAATTATTTATATACATATTGCCACTTGATGGAGAAAAAAAAAATACATACCTACGGGTTATGGCTCAGTGGCAACACAGGCTAGGCATGGAAGAAAAATTCTAAAGTTTAATCTCCACTAAACACACTTGCAGGGAGAAATAAAGAGTTTTAACTGTGACTAAACCCTGAATTGGATTAGGCAGTTCTTAGTAATGAAGTCCGAACACCGGTGATTTTTACACAAAAAAAAGAGGAAAATACATTAATTATTTTTATTACATTACTCCTTGTATGTAAATATATTTCAATGTTTCATTTGATAGTTAATTTTTTTTAAAACATTTCCATCACTCCATTGTTTTTATATTTATATTATATATTTAGACTTTATTACTCTTATAAAAATAATAACTACTAAAGTTTTTTCAATTTAATATTTTTATCTTATTATTTCATCTATAGTTAATTTAAGATATAAATAACTATTAAAAACTATAGAAAATTTAACTGATATTTTTTATTTCTATAGTATATATAAAATAAAATCAACATAAATATATATATGTGATAAATGATAATTTATAAAAATAATTATACTTTTAACAATCTTTACCGTAGCTAAAATTTTATTAAATATCAATATTTATAAATTAATCGCTCTCAATTCTAAAGTATCAACTATACGTTAATATGAACAACTAAACCCAACGTGCCCTCCATTCACCTTCTAAATTTTCATCCTCCAGAGCTCAATTCGTAGTTGAGCTAATGATTGAAATTCTTGAATCTTGAAGATTGGTCAATGGATCCATAAAATGCATTTTGCTTTATCAATTCTTCTATTTTAGCCTGGTCTTAAATTTATGGTCTACACACTTTAGCCCAAAGCCCATGGATCATATACAATGATTCTATTAACTAGAATGCACACTCTCATAAAATATAATTAACTATCTTTCTAGAACAAGGTTGCCAATTTAAATTTCTAACGTTAAAGTCAGATCATAAGAATTTTTTCTTTTACAAATTTTGTACTTTTAAAAAATATTTATATCTTTTTGTGCATATAATAAATAACTATTGATAAAAAAAAAAAAAAACATAAATCATCAGTAAGGTCCTCCAATTTTAAAATAATGTGTTTTTAATCCTATATCTAAAAGTCATGACCTCTTAACAGTGCATATAAAATTTGTATACAATTGCGGCGATTATTAAAATAATAGTATTTCTGATTATGTATTTAAAAAATAAAAAATAAAATTGAAATATTTTTAAAAAAAATTTTAATTTTATTTATTTAGTGTAACAGATCTATCTAGCCAAATTTTTTCCAAAGAGAACAAATACAATAGACGGGTAAAATATAATGAATATCCATTTGAGATTTCTTTATTTTATTTATTTATTTAATACGTGGGATACAATCAATGGCCGTCCATAATACCAAACAAACAACCAGTTGTCTTTGAAATTTTATAATGAAATGAGAAAGTCCAATAACGAAATCTTAACATTTTAAGGAATTAATTAGCTGTAACGACTAATGATGCCTGTCTATATCACCAAACGCTCTACTTTTTAGTTAGGGTGTGGATCCCACACTTTACCAAGAAAATGTGGATCCCAAACATAAACTGTTGATTACAATTTTATATTCTATCCATATATAATTTGAAAATAGGCTTAAGTTCCTTTTTTACTTGTCCAAATTACATTCTTATTTCCCTTTTTATAAGAGAATAATCTTAACATTATAAGCCTCAAATAGTGAAAAAATTTCCTTGATTGCTGCTATGTTGGGTGCATGGTAATGAAAATGAAAGGAGTCAGCCTATTATTATTATTATTATTATTATTATTATTATTATTGGGTGCTAGCTCATCAAAATGATGACCTTTTCTAGTGGAAAATTAAATCATTTTTTTTTCTTAAAAAGAGGATTTTTATCTTTCTTTATTTTGGAGCTTTTTCAACAATTAATTCATTACCACCGAAATCTCATGCATCAATTGTCAACGTTTTCATGTTTCAAGTACAAGGGGCACTATTTTTTCCAATTTTAGCATATCTCCTGTATTTCTAAACGGCATATTGATTCGAGACATTTTATAATATTTTTATACGTATCTCCAATGCTTAGAAAATATCACATTTAAATAAAATATATCTGATAGTAGTAATTTTATATTTCGATTTCCTAATTTTACACTGACATTTTTAAACTTTTCACTTTTACATAGTTTAGGATAAGAAATTGGGTTATTTATAATTAAAAAATTGAATTGTTGGTGTAAACTTTATCTTTGAATAGTAGATTTCCTCCCAAGGCATTGCTTGCCTAATTAATCAAAAATGCCTTTAAGCATCATTTTACAAATTACATAAACTAAGCACTTCATTAACAACAAATAGAAAGCTTTTTTTTTAGAAAGCTAGAGGGGAAAAAAACAGAACTATAGCCACAATTTTCTTGTTTTATTTTCATTTTCTTTAAAGAAAACTATCTAACAATAATAACACAAAGACAAGACAAGGGTCCGCTATGTTGTATGTGTGTGTATAATATATAAAATTTATTTATTTTTTTTTTTTTTTGGCCCACTACTTTCTTTTGTGAAGTCTCTCTCTCTCTCTCTCTCTTTTTTTTTTTTTTCTGTACATTATTTCTAAATTTTAACACTCTTATAACAATAGCCTTCTAGGCATAAGAAATGCGGTTATTTATAATTAAATTAAAATGAATTGTGTTGTTGAAAACTATTTTATCTTTTGATAGTAACATCCTCCCAAAGGCAAATTGCTTGCCTAAACATTAATCAATAAGATAAATCGCCTATATGAAGGCATACCATATTTACCAAATCTTGACATCGTGATAAAGAGCGTAAGCGAACACTTCCACATAAACAACTAAATTAATGAAAGTCTTTTTTTTAATTTAGAAATTTGTAGAAGCTGAATGATGGCGTAGAATAGAGAAGAACATGAACTTGAATAGAATACGCGTATCGAATTCATCCCTTGGTTCTAGTTCATTTAATCTTTCAAAAGAACAGAAACTAATCTAATCATATTAGGAGAAAAAACACAAAGACAAGACAATGGTGGTCACTGTAATAAGTTAGTATGTGTGTATGTATTACATCATATAGCGAGATAGAATTTATTATTTTTTTTTATTTTTGTGTGCTCCACTACCTATTGGCTTTTGAATGAAAAGTCTCTCTCTCACTGCTCTGTACTCATCTCTCTTTTTGAATTGTTTTGGTGATTCGTTCATTAAGAACCATATGGTAGTTTAAATACTGTGCACAATATCTTATCTGAAAAGAGTGGAACATGTAATATGAAAAGCTGGTCTGCTTTTCCAGCCTTGCAACCAATGATCTTGCTCATCACTAAGGAATAGAGCCAAATTGGACCCAGGTCTGTTAAAATCATGATTTCATACCGTCGACTTTCAATGTAATTAGCACTTGCGTTTTTCTTTTTTTCTCGTATCTCTCATGGCTGTGGTGATTTTAATATCTGTCTATTTTAGAACATTGTGCCTTTCCTAGCTTTCAACATTATGAATTGGAGAGTTATTAATATAGAAGCAACCGTACCAGAATATTTTTGAATCTATAAGTGCTACTATTTAATAAGAGTTTAGGTGCTGAGGTTAGACTATTTTGGTGGTCTTTCTAATTTATGTATTACGCGTAAAGGTTTAACAAATGTATATATATGTATCAATTGATAAGTTTAATTATTGTCAAAAAGAATTAGTAAATTTTATAATATATTTTGATCATTGTGAAGATGTAATAAAACAGTGTATAGAAGAGCTGAATAAAATTGGTATACGTGATCTACGATAATAAGAGAATTTTTAATAATAGCAAGCACAAATTAGTTATAAGTAAGAGAAAGTGTTATCAAATTAGGCTAATGAATATTGAAATATGTATTGCTTATTTTCATAAAGATTCGAGATATATATTCCTTTAAAGTTCAAATCAAAGTATAAATAAAATTGTAAGACAATGAGTTAATGAGAGATAATTATGTTTTGAATTTAATAGGATAATTGGTACCGATTCATATTGTTATAGGATACCGTGAAATACCAATGTATTCTTAGAAATTTCGATATATGGTCTTAGAATTCAATAATCAGCGTGCAATCTTAAGCCGAACGGTGTGTATTACCTTGTTGTATTTTCTCTCTTCTCTCTTCTAGTGTAAACATCTACGACAAGCACAAAGGCACAACGATACGAAGTCACAGACTTAATACCGCGGCTTGAATTTCTTCGGTCTATACTTTACTAAATGATTAAGAATTTAATCAATAGAGAGATCTACAAATTGAATCAAGTTTTCTGTCTCAGTCTCGTTCAGTTAGAGCAACATGTACAAGGCAAACACCTTTACTTAAGTGAAATTAGCGTTGATTAAAATCTTGGCTATATTAACTCTAAATAAATATGACATCGACATTAGAAGACGTTGACAACCAGCAGAAATATATTCGATTTGTCAACCGATATACTCCAGCATATATGTAGAGACATCAATAGATTTATATTGTCTCTACGTCGAATTTACGTGCAATTCGGCCTGTGTATCGTGAGACATCACTCGACTAATTTCATGCGTACGGGCTATGTAATGCCGTCTGTGTTCGGAGTTGAGTTATAAGGAAGAAGACAGCACCAGCGAATCGACTTATCAGACTTCATAGAGGCTGCATTGCTACTTTAGGTAAACTCTGCTCCTGGATGGAGATAATCGGGATGTTCGTAAATGCGTGAATTGGAATCATCGTATCCCAGTGATCTCAGGCTGTTTTTTACCGATTCTATAAGAAGGATTGTCAAGACTTGGTACTCATCGCGTAGCGGGAACGGAAATTATCTTTAAATGTATATGGTGATCGTTTCAATTATAAGTGGACGAAAGAGAATTAGAGATTTTAACACAAAGGACAGTTCTTTTTTTTTTTTTTGTTCATTAAAATTGGTAAATATCCATTTATGGATAACATAAAAAGCTCTGCTTTCCAGCCTTGCAACCACTGCTCATCACTAAGGAAAGACTTTTATCAATTCAAACCTCCTCAAGCAATAGCCTTGCTTTTTCTTTTTTTCTTTTATTATGCTGTTATATTTTTCTGTTAATTTTGTATTTTTTTCGTTAATATATAATTATTTGTACCAATATTTTATCAAAGTTAATTAATTTATTCATTGACTATTTTGTCTTTCTATTTTACCAAAGTTAACTAATTTATCATATATTTAATATAAAAATATAAAAAATTTGATAGAAAGATATAACATTGTAGAAAGACGAAAAATTATAGGGACAACTATGTATTTTTAAAAATGCAAAGGCAAAATTATGTATTTTACAAAATACAAGAATAAAATAGTTAATTCCTTTTTTTTCAAAATAATTTTTCCTTAATTTTATTCTATAAGAGAGTGATTAAATGATAATTATGTTATAAATAAATACATAATTTTAGAGAGTGAAAGCAAAGACTAAAAATTCAAAGTTTAGTTCTCACTGGCAATTGCCAACTGTATTCCCTTGTATTTTCTCTCTTTCTCTCTCTATTACACTACACAACACAACACAACACAACACAACTTCGTCCCGCGAATCTCGCTTTTTCTAAATAAAATTTATCAAAATCCAATGAATCAGCTTTTCTGTCCAGCTTTGGCCATGTCACCACCCTTCTAGGAACGGTTAAACTTGAAACTTAAAGACACCTTGAAGAAGAAACATTTGCAATATACTCACAAGAGAACGCTGATATTGCTCTACGTCAACGGCAATCGCCGGTCCGGCCGACTATTCACGTCGCTATGGAAGCCTCTGGCGGAGGAGGAGCACCAGCTGACATTGTCGCTCCGGCTGCATTGCTACTAGAACTCGTCGGGGAGATAATCGGGATGTTCGCCGGAATTGGAATCATCGACCGTGATCTAGTGTTTAGAAAGGATTGTATGGATCTGGTACGGAGAATTTCTTTGTTGACGCATTTATTGGAAGAGATTAGAGATTACAAAAGTGAATCTGGTCCGTTGGATGCGTCTAGTTCTTGTTCATCATCTTCTGGCAATTGGTGCTCCGATCTTTTTGGGGCTCTTCAGGCTGCTAAGCGTCTTCTATCGGTTGCTGCCACTTTCAAATCCAATAATAATTCTGTAAGTGGAAACTTTTTTTTTTTTTGTACAGCTTAATGTGTCATTTCTATGGATTTAGTTGGGTATGAACTGTGAAATTCTAATTTGGTGTTATAAAACTTAGCTTTAGTTGAAACTCTACAGTTTTTGCTCAACTTGAATAGTACTCAGCTGGTAATAATTTGCATGCGCATTTCTGTATATATTGTTATGATTATTTGGAATTTACTTGTGAATCCCTTTTGAATTACCATCACGGAATACTAGTAAAAAAATGAATCCTTTTTGAATTTTGCTTGGAAAATATTACTTGAAATTACATTAAAAATCAATTGAATGTAGATTGGTTCTATTAATCTTTAGTTATTGAGCCTTTAAACCTCTGATCTTACGTTGATGAGATTCTAAATTTAGTATTTTCTTTGAACAAAATTATAGAAGCAAGGAAATTTTGTATAGTATTTCTCAATTCTATGTTGTTAAGCATCATATTGGATCTGTTGATGGGTAACCATTGGGAGACGAACATTTACTTCTTTAGAGCTGTTCCAACCTTGAAGCCCATTATTGCTGAAATTTTGCTGTGTTCATGCACATTCTCTTAAAAATATATAGGTACCTCTCTGAATTTTGTATGTATATTGACTTAAGGATGGAGCTGCAAAGAAAATTGCCTTCCAATTTCAATGTGTGACATGGAAACTGGAAAAGGCATTGGCTAGCATACCGTACGATCAGTTTGACATCTCAGAGGAAGTACAAGAACAGGTATGTGTTGAAAACATATGCGGATCTATGGTCTTGATGGAGCTCAGCGTTAATATTTTAATCTTTCACTAGGTTGCATTGGTAAGATCACAGTTGCAAAGAGCCTCAGAAAGATATGGGTCAATGAATTCAAGAGTAATTTCTTTTACCTTAACTGCTGATGCCATGGACAAAGTAGTTGATCAGGCTCAAAAGGGAAACAGGCTAACAAGGAGTGCACATATTGAGAAAACTTGTGATTCCCATCATGAAGTTTTGGAAAAGCTAGACGCTGTTTCTGGAAGTGATGGGTCAAAGAGCCATGCTGCAGATCAGGTCATCAGTGAACCAAGTGAAGTTGATCAAAGCAAGAAAAATAATTTGGCTTGCAAGAATATGGAAGACTTAAAGAAACCTGATGCTCCCATAATTCCTGATGACTTTTTATGCCCTATTTCTTTGGAATTGATGAGGGATCCTGTAATTGTGGCAACTGGACAGGTACACTTTGGAACCTCAAACCCCATTTTAATGTGTGCCTATATGTTTTAAATAAATTTTGCTTAAATTTCAAATCTCTTTCACTTTTATTATGTTTGCCTTCTGATTAACCTCTTATGGTTCTGTAGACTTATGAGCGGTCTTATATTCAAAGATGGATAGACACTGGCAATGTAACATGTCCGAAAACGCAGCAAAAGCTTGAACACTTGACACTGACTCCAAATTATGTTTTGAGAAGTCTAATAACTCAGTGGTGTGTGAATCACAATATTGAGCAGCCAACTGGGTTAGCAAATGGGAGAATAAAAAAGAGCGATGGATCTTTTCGTGATGTAAGTGGTGATATAGCAGCCATCCAGGCACTTGTCCGCAAGCTCTCAAGCAGGTCTTTTGATGAACGCAGAGCTGCTGTATCTGAAATCCGATCCTTATCTAAAAGAAGCACAGATAACAGGATACTAATAGCAGAAGCAGGAGCTATTCCTGTTCTAGTTAATCTTTTAACTGCTGAAGATGTATCAGTACAAGAAAATGCAGTTACCGCAATTCTTAACCTCTCTATATATGAAAATAACAAGGGACTGATAATGCTTGCTGGTGCTATTCCTTCAATTGTCCAAGTTCTCAGAGCTGGGAGCATTGAAGCAAAAGAGAATGCAGCAGCAACACTTTTTAGCTTGTCACTTGGTGATGAGAACAAAATAATAATCGGTGCATCGGGAGCGATACCTGCTTTGGTAGAATTGCTTGAAAATGGGAGTCCTAGAGGGAAGAAAGATGCTGCAACTGCCTTGTTCAATCTGTGCATTTATCAAGGGAACAAGGGAAGGGCTGTAAGGGCTGGAATTATCCCAGCATTGTTAAAGATGATCACAGATTCAAGAAATTGCATGGCCAATGAGGCGTTAACAATTCTTTCTGTTCTAGCTAGCAACCAAGATGCTAAGGTTGCCATAGTAAAGGCTAGCACTATACCTGTTCTCATAGATCTATTGAGAACGAGCCAGCCACGCAACAAAGAGAATGCAGCTGCCATTTTGCTTTCCTTGTGCAAGAGAGATCCTGAGAATCTTACCTGCATAAGTAGGCTCGGTGCCGTTATACCATTAATGGAGCTAGCTAAAAGCGGCACTGAAAGGGCCAAGCGGAAGGCTACTTCGTTGTTGGAGCATCTTCGAAAGCTACAGAACTCTAACAATGGTAACTGAACCAAAAAGCTTGATTTTTCATTAATTTTTTTGTTTCTTTTATTCTAATTATTTGACAATGATTGCCACACCCACACCATTCTATTATATAGTGTGATCCTGAGAACATAAGCATGAGAGACAAAGTCTTTCTCATTGCTCTTTGTATTTATTTCCTTCTTCATGCGTGTAAAAATTACAATTGATAATCTGTTTGTCATGATAATATTTGATTAATTAAAGATTTCTTTTCTGTCTAATAAATGAATGTATTTCCTTTCATAATCCAGGAAACTTTACATGGGTTTATTACGCATAGTTGATATTGTTTAAAGTGAAAAGTACTTGACTTTCAAAAGGAAACCAAAAAGTACCCATAGTGGAGAAAATATTTATTTTTTCATTTTTTTTTTCTCCCTCTTATGCTTGAAAAGGGCAAAACGTAAAAAATAAACTAAAACATGAGTGGATACAATTTAAAGATACAAAAGATTGTTAGTGGGTTAGTAACACACTAACATAACGCATTTTGGACCGCAAGTGAGTAAAATCTCACACTAAAAGTGAATGCAATGATTATTTGTTTCAGCTTAATGACACTTGTTGAATTTCCAATCATTCAATGATAAGAAATGAACTTGTTTCTCTAAATTAAATTAATTCATTATTTATTTAAATTTACTAATCAAATTTTGTTTAAATGAAAAAATTTATTTTTAGAATTGATTCAATGAATTATGTACCATATTAGATGAAAAAAAATAAAATTTTGCTACATTATAAAATAACACTATTTACTACTTTATTTACTACTTGATATTCTTCTGCAATCAGCTTTCGATATCTTTCTTAATTAAACTCAGTAAGATAAGTGAATTCAAATTCATTATTTAGCTTCCAGCCTAAACAAATTACTCCTAAGCGAAGGATCTACACAGATAAACCTATTGTATTAGAATTTTGAATTGTTTGTAACATTGGAGGTTAATAGTTCAAATTTCGAACTGAGTAATTGAATTTTAAGTCTTTTTTCCATATTGCCTACCAAACATAAAATAGAAATTTTTACTCTCATAAAGTCGCAAACAACTAAAGCTGACTTTTAGTAAAGCAGCCATTAAGCACGTGATTGACCATAAATAAAACTGTCATTAAAATACTAATCATCTAATTTAGGTTTAGTAAAATCTAACATTATTAAGTAATCATAAAAGGTACAATTAAGGTACAAAAAAAAATTATTTTTTACTTTTAAGTTTCTAGAGAATAATAAACCTAAAAGTGATAATATTGGTATTGCATGCCTCTGTCTTCTGCCTTATCTAGACAGGCTGCAAATTGCAAAATGGCCAAACAATTATTTATGGTATATCAACCATGTCTGCAAAATCAAATCTCGTATATGGGAAACGTGGCCAATATATATTTCAAGAAAAATAGGATACCATATCAAGAAAAAAAAAAAAAAAAAAATATATATTTCAAGAAAATAGGATACCATATCAAGAAAAAAAAAAAAAAAAAAAGTGATGTGGATAACATAGATGTGATCGAGTCTTTTTCAATTTCTTATGATTTTCACATTTATTTGAGGACAAAAAATATAACAAGGCAGGCTTCCGGACAATGTTTGTTGGAGACAGGGATTCAATAACTGTTGTCGAATAGGGGAAAAAAAGGTTATATTGATGCCTGCCCTTGTTTATGAGCTCTCAAACTGGAGCACCATCGTCTGCGGTTTTTCCAAATAATTTTTCATTTCTGTCATTCTCCATAAGTCTTGGATTGTCACACTTTAAAAATGTAATCTTTTTGTTTAATTAACAAATGCAGCTAAATCAATTTATTAATTGATATATAATTCAAACTGCTCTGTATTTCTTAATTAAGTAACCTTTTCAAATTAGAATCAAAGCAATATCCATAATTAATTAATGCTCCCTTGTTTCGAGAAATAACATTACCAAGAAAATATTTTATTTTCTATTGAAAATCATATCAAAAAAAAAAAAAAAAAAAGTGATGTGGATAAACATCAAGATGTTGATCGAGTCTTTTTCAATTTTCTTATGATTTCACATTTATTGAGGACAAAAAAATACAGGCAGGCTCCGACAATGTTTGTTGAGACAGGGATTCAATAACTGTTGTCGAATAGGAAAAGGTTATATGATGCCTGCCCTTGTTTATGAGCTCTCAAACTGTAGCACCATCGTCTGCGTTTTCCAAATAATTTTTTCATTTTGTCATTTCTCCATAGTCTTTGGATTGTTCACACTTTGAAATGTAATTTAATTTTTTTTTAATTAACAAAATGCAGCTAATCAATTTATAATTTGATATTATAAATCAAACTGCTCGTATTTTCTTAATTAAGTAACCTTTTCAATTAGATCAAAGCAATATCCATAATTAATTAATGCTCCCTTGTTTCTAGAAATAACATACCAAGAAAATATTTTATTTTCCTATTGAAAATTGAAAATTAAAAATTAAGTCAGTTTAAAGAAAATAATAATGATGACTTCTGGTTCTTAATTATCATTATAAACACAATTTTTATATTAATTCATTGAAGTAGTCAACTTATTGGCGACAACTTAATTTCACAAATTTGTATTTTTTTTTTTTCTGAAAATAGGAGAAACAGTTTAATTTTCAAGTCAAGTGATGATAATATTAAGTCCCATAAATGAAAATAAAAAATAGAAGAAAATTACAAGAATTAACAACTTCCAAGTTGATGAGCGGACTATCAATTTAGACTTGGTTCTTGATTTCACATTTCCGCACATGCTAATATTGATGAAGACCGGTATCAATTAGTAAACACAAGAATTAAAAAATTAATGTTAAAAGAAGAAAAAGTACAGAATTATCAAAAACAGTAAAAGGGACATTAATAATTAAAAAAAGACTAGAATTAAAGAAAGTTTTCGTCTACCATGCAAGAAAGAACAAACTACTTTTCAATTTTTCATCTCAAAATCAATCAAATACAAATACGTGATGAAAAGAGTCAAATTTCACATGTCTATCCGTTGAAAACTCAATCAATAAGGATTTTGAATCCCCGCCGCCGTGATTATCGTTAATTAATTATCTTTTTTTTTTAATTAATGAAGTACATGTTTATTCTCCACCCATCACGGGGTTTTTGGAGCCCATTAGTACACATTTCCCACGTCCACACGTTGAAAATGATATCATATATATGTATTTTTGCACATGTATAGTTGTTGTAATAGCTAAGTAATTAACAGAATTTTCTTTTTCTTTTTTGCACAACTCATATTTCTAGTGCACATGAGCACGGTTTTGAATCCGAATTGCTATTTGGCAATTTCGGAATTTCCAATTTTGGTTCGTCCGGTTTCAAATCAAAGTCGGACAATTTTTTTTCCTTTTCTAATATTTTTTTTAATTTATTGGAGGTCTTTGTAGATCGAGATAATTCAAAATGGAACAATTATTTTCTTTTTCTAATGCTTTTTCTAAAGTAGTCTTCCCTTTAACTCACCAAATTGGTTAATTAATAATCAATAATAAAATAATAACAACAACAAATAGTATTATCGGAAAAACTAAAAGAGTTCAACAAAAAGTTTAAAATTGATTTTAAAAAATATAATAAAAAAAAACAAATTGAGAGTTTTTTTTTTTTTTATAGTCTTTGATTTGACAATTCTTATTTGTGATTTCATACTCATACGATGCTATTAATTTCGATTTTCGCCAATTTAATTTTAATTCAAAATCAAAACGTGAAGATATAATTTGTAGTGTGAATGGCTTTCTTTGTGTGGAATGAAAGAAATGATAAAAAAATATTAAAAACTAACCCGTGATATATATAAAACAAGCACAATCAAATATTAAAAAAAAAAAAAAATCCAAAGTCTAGCTAATTTTATGCAGAAACCGAAAGCTTACGTGCTGTATTCCGTTTGTCAAATATTCTAGCAATTTTCAAATATTTGCCTTCTTTGTTGACTAATGACTTTCAAAGGAATCCATGTCCTTATCTCTCACCTTCCCTCCCGTACTCTTTATAATTATAAGCCCTACCCAAATTCACAACTTCATACCACTGTATCACCAACCTTCACAACTATGGGAAACACTTTAGGAGGCAAAAAGACTGTCAAGATCATGAAGATAACCGGTGAAACCTTCAAGCTAAAAACTCCGGTGAAAGCCGGTGAGGTTGTTAAAGATTACCCAGGTCTTGTTTTGTTAGAATCAGAAGCAGTTAAGCATTATGGGATTAGAGCAAAACCTCTTCAACCAAATCAGGATTTGGTTCCAAAGAGGCTTTACTTTTTAGTAGAGTTGCCTAAGTCTCCAACAGAGAAAGTTGCAAGAAGGGTTCGGTCTGGACCGATTAATATGAGCGCTAAAGATAGGCTCGAAAGTCTAATGTTGGCTCGAAGATCGGCTTCTGATCTTTCTATAATTAAGAATACTTCTAGCAGTAGCTTTGTTTCTGATGAAACAGAGAAAAATGGGCATGAAGAGAGTGCAGTTAGGGTAAAAATGAGACTACCCAAAGCAGAAGTTGAAAAGTTGATGAAAGAAAGCAAAAATGAAGCAGAGGTAGCTGAAAAAATCATGAACCTTTATGTGGGAAACAAAGAGAAAAAATCTAATGATCAAACTAAGCTTTCGAAGACTTCTGTTAATGGAAGAGTAACTAATGAAGAAAGTGTTAAGGTAAGTTTTCTTTCCCTTTTTCTTATTTGTTTTCTCTTTTGTTTGTTCTTCTTTGTTTTAATTGACAAATTTTGGAATAGATTAATTAGTTCATTAACTAAAGAATTAATTCTTATTATTATCAATTAGGGTTGACAACATTGTCTCCTTATTTCGTTTTGATTTTTTTATATTATTTTCCTAAGAGTTGATAAAATAACGGACATTTACACACAGTAAGAGTCCATTTGTTTTTTTTTTCCCGTAATTTATACATTTTTACACCGCTCTTCATTTTTTATACTTGCTTATTTCTTATTTCTTAAATATATACATCTACAAGTCAAAATATAATATAATAGTAAATGCCTATAATACATCTAAAGTCGAATTCTGTTTGCCAATGTTAAAATAGAAAAAACATATCTATTTCACTTGCAAATTAAAGGAAAATAAAAACAAAAATTAAATTTTCCTTCTTTCTCTTAATACAAATATGTTATTGTTTTCCTTTTCTTTTTTTTTTCTTTTTTGCTAAAAATTGAAATTTGAAAAATGAATATTTGGTAGAATTTAGTAGTCAATGATTCAATTTGCATATGGTCTAATGAATAAATGATGGCATGCTTAAATGGAGATGAATTATTCTCTTCCCTTCACGTGCATGCTTACAAAAGTTTATTGCATATAAAATATTAGTCCTCATTTGGAGTGATTAATAGTTAATTAGCCAGTTAAGATACGAATATATATATCTTAACAGCCTTCTGCCTGTCCTTAATTACTTAAAGATATTATTAAATATTTAATGAAATAATAAAGCAACCTCCAACATACAGTGAACTGACATATTCAAATTCCAAAATCCAATTTTCTATAATTTTTAACCTTCTGGAAACTGGTGAATCTTAACACGTGCAAGCAATAATTTTTATATCGATCCTCGTATTCCATTTGACTCTTAATTAAATGTTAATTACTATGTTGAAAAAATTAATTAAATGGTAATTTAATTATATAACAATCACTATTTTTTTTTTTTGTTAGCAGAAGCGAGTTAGTTTCTTGCCAGTCAATGAAGGAGAAATGCAAATAGCTGTGGCTTCTTATTAGCAAAATGAATATTAATACAATATATGATGAATTACTCTCAATAAATTGTGAAGAAGAGTGAAGTAGTTGGATCTCCAAGTTTTTGGAATGCTCCAAATTCCACTTGAGCGTCTAAATCTGGATCAATACCAGCAAAGACAAGATCATATATAAATTGCATTCTCTCTACTTCAGCCTTCAGCCTTCAGCCTTCAGCCTTCAGATTCTCATGTACCAAGCTCTTATTTTCTTGTATATACAAAACCAAAAAAAATGGAGTTTTCAGATTTTCGAGGATTATGAATTTAAGAGCATGCAGTGGTGAGAGATGTAACCCTTTGACATATCTTTTCACAGTGACTCATAGGATGATAATTTTAACTTTTATTACTTATAATTGTTTGTATTTTTTTTTGGTTTTCACTCCACCATGAAACTTTCTTTTTGTTATATAATAGTTTATAATGTTTGGTGAACTGTAGTAGAATACAATGTGATATAATTAAAAATATTTTAAATATTTTCTCAAAAAAATCTAAACATTACATTAGAAATGTTTTTAATATATTATATTATGTTTCACTGTGACTAATCAAATTTAGCATAATTTTCTTTTTATCCTTAACAAAATCCTTACTTATAATTATTGATGCTCTTAGCCTCTTAGTATGTCATAAATTAAAATTGTATAAAACAATATAATGGATCCATAAGCTTAGATATACATTACAAGGAATTTTTAATTTACTTGATTTAAGGAAAAATTATTATTTTATCCTTGTATTTTGTCTAAATATATGATTTTATCTCGATACTTGGAAAAATATATAATTTTATCCCTTTTTTTTTTCTCTGTCAATATTTTTAAATGAAATGATCCATTATTTGTATAGTAGCCTAATTAAAGAAAGAAGGGGAAAATGCTTATTCTGCTAGCCGTTTCATTCTATAAAATGGATTGTGCCAAATTCTCCTCTTGTATCTGTAACATAAATAACATTTTAAACAGAATATCAAATAAAAAATCCACTCTTAACTAACAAATTGAAAGACTTTATCATAAAGTTTCCCTCAATTTCCCTCCTTTTCTCAGTCTTTCAATCTCTACCATCAGCTTAGCCACTAAAGATTTTTTTTTTTTTTTTTCTAAATTAGGGAAAACCTGACTTTGTTTTATTTTTATTTTTGTTTAACGAGTCAAAAAGAAATGGACTTCAAGTAAAATCAGACAACATTTCCTTTTCTAAAGATTGAAACTACATTTCCTTTTCTAAAGATTGAAACTTTTTACATCCCCAAATTGGAGTATTAACATTTTTTTTTTTTGAAATTTCTAAAAGGAAAGTGAAAGAAATAAATACCCTCCCTTTTCCTTCCCCTCCTAAACATGAAAAATTAGACAAGAAAAAGAAAAAGAAAAAACAGCAAAGGGGGTTCCTCCATTTCCCCATTTAGTATTCAGGACCCTATTTCTCACTAACAACTGTGTAGACGTTGCAAAATAATCACATTAAAGAACCTTCAATGGGGTGACTCTTGCACATGTATAAAAATGATGTACAAAGGCCTCAACAAGGAATTGGGCTAACTTTGCCCATACACAAGTTCTCACTTTCCTCCGCTTACATCTCTATTGCCTTATTAACCAACAAATGACTTTTCAATGGAAAGAATACAATGAATTTGTTCATGAAGACCATTGATCAGGAACTGTGAGAAAATATGAAGTCATTGCTTTTCTGAATCTTTTCTTGTATTGTTTCGGGGAAATAATCGTCGGGGATGCATTTTTCGGACCGCCAAGAATTCCAGATGCCTTAACCCATGTCTCTAAATGTTTATCCCATGTATATTGTCTCATGAAATCAATGATACCTAAAACAAGCTCCTTTCGCTCATTGTCTACTCCAACCAGCAAAGAGTAGTCCATAACATCAACAGACTGTACAAAAGTATAACAAATATGTGAACAACAAATACCAAAAAAATTAAAAAAAAAAAAAGAAAAAAAAGTGTGTTTTTGATTCTCATGTCTCTAATAGTAAATTTTAGAAACTTTGTTATCTTACCGCCAAAAATGATGTATCATTCCATATTGCTCTCTCTAGGCTTCTCTTCGCTTTGCTTCCTAGAAATATGGGCTCTGTGCGTAGTGTTTCTACCAGGTTCATATCTAACAATACTTTGTTTTGCCCGTTTGTATCTGGATTGTAGCGGGATCGAGCAGAACCCTTAAGATCATAGACCCTTGCAATACTTCTCTTAAAAAAGAGATTTTCCATCACCATTAGATCCATTTTTGTTTCCTTCCCACCTTTCAAGTGCTTTACAGTAACCTGCCGTGGAAGAATGTACAAGAACAATGAGAAAAGTTTTACCTGATACATACCAAGTGTGATTGCAAGTGCAGAAGAGCCTAACCTGATAAATACCAAGAACTTTGGCAAGGCAAGTCGGACTTCCTGAGCTAAGAGAATCTGTCAGATATTTGAAGTATTCTGATGCAAATTCCTCAAAAGAGTCTAACTCAGTCTTTTTGACTTGTTTTATTATGAATCTCTCGTCCAATGACTTGGCAAAATATACATTGCTTTTCCCCCCTTGTGCACTCCATCTCTGGCAGCGACTCAAGGACCGTATAAAATCAACTTCACTGGGGCAACATTTCTTCCTCAGAGAATCAAACTGCTTAGCAAAATAACAAGTGACAGAAAACTTTACTTTGCCTCCAGCACTTGAAGAATTATCGCCATAAGATATTGTCAAATGTGGAGATCTTCTGGAATCCATAGATAGTGTACCAATGGATGATGAAGGATCTTCAGATCCATAACTTCCATAACGGATATAATCCAAGTCTAGAGAACCAAAAGACTGCCACGCCGAAAATGTGGAAGTTGCAGAATCATCCTTGCAGTGCTCATTCACACCCCAGTCTCCTTCATTCTCATTTGACTTGTCAGCAACCCAATCTTCATATTTCTTGGAACTGAGGGCATATGAAACTATACTGGCAGGATCATCATCATACACACCAACTACAATATCATTGTGGCTCCGTTGAGGAAGCAACAAACGAGCTCCTCCAGTCATATGATACAAAGAAGAGGTAAATGAGGGTGCATAGCTTGGCAATAAATTCAATTTCTGAGCCTCCAATGGCAATATTTGAGAATAAGTCCTCATCGTATTTGAAGTAGGATCTCTAACCATACTCCTGTAATCTCCAGATGCATGGAATGATTTGAGAGTCGACAAGTACAATGAAGAAGGAGGCAATCCTTTCCGGATTCTTTCTTGGATTCTCAATGCAGAGTCGAAAGAGTGAACTCTTACTGGTGCTACCATCCTTTTAAGTGGAGGATTATCACAAATACTTATCTGCTTAATAGTCCCAACTTGGAGTGCATCCGTCTGAGATGCATGGTGAGATTGAATTTTTGCCACAAGTTGATCAGTACCCGTCCATGCAGAATCAATTCTGTCAGATAGATTGGAAGCTTTAGAAGGGATGTCATCAAAGCGTGTATTATCTACTGTAATTTCCCCATCAGGATGCCCTTCCTCCTCTCTATTATGATGATATAAAGACAACACAGAATCTTCAGTAACAAAATGTTGAAGGGACAAACTATGCTTATGCTGCTCTGAAAGCAGGTCATTCCCAACATAGTCTTGTGGTTTTGAATAGCCAGGGAAATTTTCTACTTGATCATCGTCAAGCTTGCAATCCTTGCAAGATGATTGGCTTGATTCTTTCAGCTGTGCATTATATGCATCCCTGTGTACAGCCTTAACAGAATTTGTTTTTAAGAGAGAATCCAATGAATAAAGCTGACGATCCCAAGCATGCGAATTTATTAGAAGAGCCTGTCTCAAGTGATTAAGTTCCAGAATGTCTAAAGTTGACTGACTCAGATTTGAATTCTCCATAACAGCCCCATGTAGCACACCCTATTTGCAGAGGATCTCATTAGAATATTCATCAATAAAAGATAAAAAAATACAAGGGCAGCTTTGCGCTGCAGGCAATTTAAAATTGCCTTACAAGATTTTACACGCTAGAAATTTTTTATGACAATGATTCATACATTCGAGAAGTTTTTTCGTGTCCACTTACTATGTAATTATCTCTTTCCTTTCTAACTTGATCTTTTAGCTCCATAATGTGATTCTGTAACTCGTTCATATCTGATAGCTCACTTCCAAAAGACTTGCTTCTCTGTTCCATGCTATCAACTACATCAGATATCTCTGCATAGAAGGCTTCCACGTTGCCCAAAAGCTGCATAAGAAGACAAGCTCTTAAAAACAATGACAGTAAACGAGAAAACATGCACAAATTAATTCCACAGCATGTATCTGACAAATGAAATCATGCAACAACCAATCTCAGATTCTAAAAAGCACCTCAGCTGCCTCTTTTGTTATCCACTCTTGCTGAACATGGCCATTGAATTCAAGCACTGATGGCGGCAAATGAACATTAAGAATATCAATGGGGGAATAGCGGAAGAATGCAACCATGTTGCCAAACCTGTCAGATGAGACTTCCATTGATTACCAAAATTAAACTCCATAGTTAGAAAGTCATTTAATTCTAAAACTAATGGAAATTACCCATAGAAACGAAGGCAGTCCCTCTGCAATGAATGACCACAGGGAGCCACACGATTAGCAGTTGCATGGTTGGAAAAGCTCAGCTCCAAAAACTTTCCAAAAGAAAGTCCCCAAGCTGCATCTGACATAACCACTCTACGGGTTGCTGGTGGGACTCCATCTATATGAGCACAACGAAGGCACCGATGCCACATCCATATCTTCCCATCTCTTTCCCCAGATAACTTTACAGAGGAAAGGGATCTAACATTGATCGTAAGATTTCCCTGCTGGTGAGAGTAACACAGTACATGTGCTTCTGCCGGCTCCTTACAAGACCTACAGCAAGATGCCTGGTAACAAAAAAATTCCTATTTAATATTTAAGATTCAAATGCATAGCAGGGAAACACTTAAGCAGAAAGAAGACATCCATAATGAATCACCTGATCAAACAGGTCATCACGTAGATATCTTCCAAGTGGCTTGTCAAAAGATCCATAGAATTTTATGCGCAGGAGTCGAGAGCGTTCACATACAGTTCCTTTTGCTACACAGCGGCTTGAAAAAGAGACTAATATGCTCTGGTTAGTGTCCGTGGATGAGAAGTATTCACTAGAAACTTTATCTCCATTTATCCTCTCAGATTTTGTTAATTCATGAGTCTCCCCGAGTTGCCTTTCCGCTTGCCCAATGGCATCTTGCAAGTCTGGCAGTGAAAGGTGTTTAACACCAGAGAGAGACACCATAGGCATCTTCTGATCCTCAAATTGGCTTAGAGCAAACGAGTCCAATCTCACACAAGACACTAAATCATTGCAGCAAGCATCGGAGAGTGGACTCGCATACCTATGATCCGTGGAACCAGGAAAAAAAGGAGGAACAGTGCAAGTATGTATGTTTACTAATGTTTCTGATCCTACATGCTCTGGTTTGTGATCCACAGGTCCCTCATCTCGGGCAGAGGCATCAGCTATGGCAAGGCAACCCATTGATGGGATAAGCGAAATGGCATTATCAGTTGCAGTCTTCTCTGGTATGGCAATCGAATGTTTAAGCGTCATCTTAGGAAGGCTGGCACCCTCATCAGCTAGGAAGGAAGTCTCAAGGGAGAGATGATAGGCTGCAAATACTGCATATTGAATCACATGCTTAACCTTCTTTAGTTCTTCACGACATGTGCCCCTCAGCAAGACCTACAAATAGATGACCAAGACTTGATCAGAGATAGAACGAAGTTCTGAAACTTTTCCACTCACAAATTCATAGAGCAGAGATGCAATATCAAAAAGATAACTGTTGACACAAAATGTACTCAATATGATGGATAATACAGACCCCATGAAAATGGATGCTTTATTACACAGTTCAGGAGTCAACAGAAACAAATCCAAATAAGCCATACTCCATCTCTGAACATCAAAAACACATTCATACCATGATAAGAACATAAATAGAAAAGCCACGCCTATATGTTTTAAAATATTGTCCCCTCTAAATTCATGTTGAGTGAGAATCCATAATAATTTGGCATATTATCCACTACCGTGCATCCTAGACGTCGTGGACATCCTTCAAAAAACATCAATGTTTTAGATGGCTTTTTGTTGAACTGATTAGCAGTCTCGTGTTCTTCAGACACTCTCTCTACTCGGAACAGTTCACAGTGCCCCAATCGCGTTGTAGAAATGCTGTAAATGGATGGACTAATAAAAGCGCCTGTGCACCGAGCTATCCTCTCCAGTAAAGGCCTTTTCACATTGGGCACCAAAGAAATTTCCTTTGCCAATAAAATATCTTGGGCATATGGAGATACACTCTTCTCTACTAGCAGAACATTTGGGCGAAAAGCCTCTATCTTTGAGATAATCATATTGAGATGATTATTTTCCTGAGCAAAAGACAAAAGTTCAGAGTATCATTTCAACTACTCTTTCTATCTACCCAAGAATGGACAAAACAGCACATTAATGAAGTTACCTGTTGCACCAATGTATTAAAAGAAGCCAACTGATTCTCAACACTCTGATATTCAAGTGCTCCTCTTAAGAGAAGTAATCTGGGATTTTTGTATTGTGTAGTCATGCGCTTATGCTTTATATTTTTTGTACAAACTACCCCCTTCACAAGGATGCTGCAAGTGAAAAACAAATTCATACAACTTAAAGATTCATGGCATAAAAATGTTAAAGGAAAAAAAAATTGGAGTACAAGGAAATAGCATCTCGAAAAGGTTATAGAAATTATACCTATCACTTGGACTTCCTGATGCTATACATTTAACCTTTACATAATCAACAGGATCCATACTGCCTCCTCTGCTAGTATCTGGTTTCACAAACTTTGCAGCTTGCCATGCTATTGTTGTAACTATGTCAAGCCAGTCCTCACCACCATCCTCTTTCCTGACTTTGATACCCTCCCCTTGTAAAAGCTGGGATACAAGAGCCCTAAAATGCCCCTGTATCACAGCTCTGAGAGGCTCCTTGTTGCCCTCATTGTGTTTCTCCTTTGCTGGCAACATGCTAAAGAGGCTACTAGTGGATGAGAACAATGCACCAGAATCCCCAATATCATCATCATCATCATCGTATGCAAAGAAATTACTATCTGCCTCATCATTTTCATCCTCTGGATGTGGGGGGAACCAGATACTACCGTTGCTTTCAAAATCCAATGGCTTTTGAGACTTGTCAAATTGGTTATGCAACAGTGACACATCATCGGAGTAATCATCAGTATTTTCCGGATCCTCAGTCTCTTTGTCAAGCCTTCCTAAAATAGCCACATTTTCTTGATCAAAGGGACCATCAGTTTGAGACAATGGACTTCCTTCTTGTTCACGCTGTACAGAATGACCAACTCTATAGGAAGCAAAATTAATCCTAGAAGGGCTGTCTAAAGGACTTGATCCCACTGACTTACAACCGTAGAACTCAAGTCTAGCACTAATACTACTTGAATCTATATCTGAAACATCATGACAGTATTCACTTGATGGGCTGTAAAAGTGCTTCCCAGAATCATCTGCCTCATCTTCATCACTCCTAAATTAGTACATATACACACAAAAGGCATGAACAGACGATCAAAAAGGAAAACAAAATATAAAAGCAAAACATGCGAAAATTCTAGTGTACCATATAGGACAGTGAGAATCATATATGAAAAGCTGCATCAATGATTAAGCTCTAAGTGCAAAAGAGGCGCAAGTTGTCTGGGCTCCTACCTTAATAAATAATATAACCCACAATAATAAAAATAAATAAAACTTTACCTGCTTGGAGAGTGGTGAATAGACACGGGGGATGCGTGAGCACTAAATGAGACCATACTCCCGGTTACTGCAAGGGATGAATACCCACAATCCCGGGATTCAAGATAGTGGGCAAGACGATCAGTCTGGAGTGATTCACCACTAAAAGAAGGGGACGGAGGCTCAGGGCTCTCCCTGGGAGACTCCGACGGATGCACTTTTTCACTATTCTTCCTCCCGCCTTCATTTTTCACACGAAAACCAATACAGAACTTGCAGGATTTGATACCCTCCCTGTATTTACTTTTCACATCATCGGATTCAATAACCACAGCAGGAGATTCATAGCCCCTAGCACAATTGACACATGACCACCTACCACAACTTTGGCAGCGGTATCCATTGAAAGGCCTAGTGAAACCTGTATTACACTCGCAACACATTTTGATACTATTATTCGGCATATCAAATTCACCAGACAAAGAAGATGGTGATAGATCGCTGACCCCCCGAGAAATCCAAGACTTAACCTTGTGTAATAGATCTGTTAGTGAAGTATCAGGTATGCCCATAGAATGCAAAAACACCCAACAAGAATTACAACCCAGTTTAAGCCCCAACTTTTACTGTTCTTCTTCTTCTCTGTAAATTTATTATGATATATATATGTAAAAGAAAAGCACCAAAATCCAATAACAACAGTTTTGGTAGAATATAATGGTATAATGAAGGGATGAAAGATTGGTATAATGAGAACCCAGAATAAAATTGGTGGGTGATCTAGGATTAAATGTTTTTCCTTTTTTTTCTGTCTTTGTTTTTTGTGGGTTTAGTATAATTGATGAGATTTACTGTAAGAAAGGGAAACAAAATCCTCCAAGAATCACAAAATATATCCAAGGAGGAAAACCCCACTACTAAATAGATTCAAATCTAACACTATTTACACCAAAATCTCTATCAATAGAAGTAACAAGATTTCCGAGCAGCAGTAACAACAACAGCAGCAGAATTATAAAACATTAAAACTCAAAACCCTCTAAAATTTAACCGATCCCGGATTCATCAAGAATGCATCCGCAAATCGATTCAAGCATATCACAGAGCAAGAAATGGAAGAGAAACGAAAAATTGAGAAAAAAAGTGAATAAAAGAAGTAAAGAAAAGACTGTGACGAGAAAATTAAATACGGGGTAAAATGAGGATCAAAAGAAGGAAAAGGAGGAGTACGGAGAAGGTTCCTTTTCTTCGGGAGTTTGCACGCATCTCTATATCTCTTCTCTTCTTCTTCTGCACTTCTTCTTCTACTCCTATTACTATTCCCACCACCATCTTTCCCGGTTTCTCTACTTTCATTTCTATTCCTATCTCTCTCTACTTGCCCTTTTATTTTCTTTTTTACTATATTTTTTTTCCCTCACATTAAAGCAAAGCAAGCACAGACTCCCTCTCTCTCATCTCTTTTCCATATTATATACTTAATGATTCTGTATTTTCTCTTTCTCATACATCTTTTCATTTGGATTAGGGTTTTTAGATTCTCTCTCTTCTTCTCATTGGCTGCTTTTTATTAATTATGTTTTCAAATTTAATTAAAATATTCTGTTAGTTGTGTAAGCATCCTTTGTTCATTGGTCAGCCATCTCTCTCTGTAATAAATACAGAGTTTTTTCTTTTCTTTTCTTTTTCGGATTAGGGAATTAGTGTTATATTAAATGGCACGCTCAGTCAGCTGCCTGTATTTTTTAAGTACATGGATTTTGTATTTTACTGTATAGTGTTTACAATAAATTAATAGGATTACAAGACATAAATTACTCTCTCACTTCCATTCAATTTCACGATTTTTTACATTAAACTAAATATTTTTTTTTTAAATTGAGGTGATTTGTTATTTTCTTAATTTTTATAAATAATTAAAATGTCAAGATTAACAGCATGGTTAGAATAGTTTGTAACATACTAAAATATTGAGTCAATGCTCAATTTATTTATAATTTAATATGAATTTTTCATAACGCTCAAATTGAAAATGGTTATTTAAATAGAGTGTTAAAAGTGATTATTAAGGTAAAGTTTCTCTAAGAGTGAAAATTTTAATTTTTTATCGTTTAAATTTTATACACGAATTTCTAATTTTGTACTTTTAAATCTCAACTTCATTGATAAAATTCACACCGAAATAAAATCTTTTCTCCTTAATCCAATAGCTTATTATTAAATAATGAAAGAAATTTAAAACTGATAAATCAATTGAATAAAAAATTGAGTTCAACAACCGGGTAGAGTCAAATTAAATTTAAATATTAAAAAAATTGGCCCCACTCAACTAAATACTATCCTTAATTACCCATCAGGATTTTGGCAAATTTTCTCGCCAGCTTAATTATTACCATTAACAACTAACGACCTCTTTTTGATGAGCGTGTATTCACGCTCTGTTCACAACGTCTAGAAAGAAAACTCTGAATATACGACTTGGGCGGTCTGATTTACGGATCAATCTACGCCCGGGTTTTGAATCAAATCCGTATTACTCATAGACCTTTCTTCGGGTTTTTTTTCTCAGTTTTGACTAATCCATTTCTTAATTTTCAAGCCATTTATAGTTTTCTTTTCTTTTTCTTTTTAATTTTAAAAAATGAGAAACATTTTTCCTGAGATTTGCTCGTTGCGAGGGAAAAAAACTGTAATATTAAAAAATATTATCTATAAAGAGTTACTCTAGTAAATCATACTTTTTTCAAATAAAAAACAAATAGTAAATCATACATGAATTCAATCTAGGCCTCTATAATTTCAAAATTTTAATCCGTAAAGAAATATTTACGGGAAGGTACTCTAAAAAGAGTGTGGGATACTCATAAAAAAATATATCGATAGACCACATTTAAAACTAAGGCTATAATTATAATTTAACAAAAAATAAAATCATAAGTTACCAAAATTTCATTGACCGTTATAGTCAAAAGACCAAGCGTTACAAGTCAAAAGAATATATTCTTAGTAATGTTTAGTTGGTAATGGATATCTATGTTAACCGCTTAGTAATCAATATCTGTGTTCCTCGCTCAGATGTTAACTCGCCTAAAAACTATATTCTTAGCTATAAAAAATCTTGCTTTTTCTATATACACGCTTGATGTATTCTATTTAGTATTATCTCTGTTTCATAATACTTGTTGTATTTGAAAATTTAAGTCCCTTAAAAAATCATTAAATTTATCTAGATTACAATAAATTATTGAATAATTAACTATATTATCCTTAATTTTATATATATTTAAACATTAAATTAAATTTTAAATTCTTCAATTCTCATAATATGTTCGATCGTAATGATAGAGAGATTTTAGAACACAAAGAGGTAGCGGTAAATAAAGAGAGAAAATTTTTTTGTTAAATTGAAATAATAATTATTGGTCATATATAAAATGTAATTATGAAAAAAAAAATATTACTCATTCAAACGGCAAATGTGATAAATTTATTCTGACAAACTATTTTATCAAATGTAATAAATATTATGAAAGGAGATAGTATCATTTTTCTTATTCATTGTTTATTTTATTTTTTTATAACTATCTAGCACCTAGCACCATTTTTCTTATTCCCTGTTTAATTTCTATAGCTTTGAGGTATTTTACTATTATTGTTATTATTTTGAGATATAATGTAACGATATATGTGTATAAAACCCAATATAAGTTTGGATTTAACTTTTTTTCTCCAAATTGAAAAATGAGAAACAAAAAGAAAAGTTTTTTTTTTTTAATTATTTTTTGAGGAAAAGAAAAAGTCGGTTGAGGGATAAAAGTACAAGAAAGGCGGTTTGGTAGCATTGGTTAGGAATTTAGTTTGGTGAGGTGAGAAGACAACATCTGCAAAGGTGAGTGTGCTGCCAATGAAGAATGGCCGAAAGTGGGGGCTTTTTCTGCAATTTTTTTCTGTTCTTAATACTTTTTCCTCTTGACGTTTTGTTGGCCAAGATAGACAAATTACATTATTTTTAAACATATAATTTTGGGTTGTCACCAAATTAGAAACTTATGCTCAAAAATAAACAAATTAGAATTCTTTCTGATGTAGGATTAACGGAAAAAAAAAAAAATTACATCATTGATGCCATAGTGTATAGTGTCACAAATGGGATAAAAGAGGCGTAGGGTGAGCCGCCCTCTATAGACAAATTTCCATCATCCATAATCATTCATGACTCATCTCCATGTGAGGATGTGCTATTTTGTTGAATTACTTTTTTGGATGGTTTTTTATGGAGAAATTATATATATATATATATATATATAGTTTTTATGGAGAAATTTATATATATTATATTATAATATATATATATTTTTCTCTAATATAAATATTGTATATTTTCTCTAATATAAATATATGTATATGTATTTCCATTTATATATGTATTTCCACAACAATAAAATAAAAATTAAAAAGATACCCATTTGCACTTTTTTATAAAATTTGGTTGAGAAAACCCAATATGTCCCTTGAGTATCTTAGTAATGCCTCTGTTCAAATATGTCATTTCACTAACGCTAGAAAATTTGCACATTTAGGACATGTATAATAGGGCCCAATTGAGTTCCTAAGTGCGAAATTGTTTAAACGTGATGTTAGATGTCATCATCCATTCGTGGATCAAAATTATAATTACCCATTGACCCAAATTAATTAATTACTAAAAATCCTAATTGGTTGTTTCGAGAAATCTCTCAATTGGCATCAATTTTAGAAATTGAAGAAAATGTTTGTTGTGCTCTCAATTTAATGATTCCATTATAAGAAAATTAGAGGTTTTTTGCATGCATTGGTTGGACTTGTATATATATATATATATATTATCCTTAATAATGATGGGACAGGGCATAATTAATTTCTCCACTTAGCTTCAATATCTAATCATCTTCTTGATTTTTCACTAATCAGTTGGTAAATATCTCTATCAAGGTGATTAATTTTGCCAAAGCAAAATGTTCTTTGATAAGGCTCTTATGTTTTGTAGGTTTCATTGATTATTTTTCTTTTTTTTTTGGCCTTGCTTGCTAATGACACATCAAAAGGTTGTCATGAGAGGCAGGAATGTCAGCTTATGGACTTAATAATTACCATTAAGTTAAAAAGACATTTATTAAGGTTTGATTAGTACCACTAGCTTTTGTAGACAAATTCAATTCGGTTCTTTTCTTTTAACCTACCAGGCATCATAAAGAATTTTTAAAATATTAAAAATTCATTTGAGGAAATAAAAAATAATAATTTTAAAAATACTAATTACTTTTCCATTATTGCCTCTTCAATTTTATTTCGTAAAAATATTATTATTGGCTGATAGATTTGTTTTATTTATTGAGTAGTTTATTGGTTTTATTATAAAAATAAATTTTGCCAAAAAAAAAAAAACTTTTAATAATTTTTAGAAGTAAAAGTGTGGAATCAAATGAATCTTTGACACTTTGTTTTCTTATCTTTACAGAATCCTTTTATTAATAACTTCTTCCTTAAACTTTTCTTGACTTGTCCTAAAAGAAAAATAAATTAAACTCGAGGGTTTGTCAGTTGAAAGTAGCCAGCCACCTTTGAAACCCACATTGGCTTTGCACTATTTTGCTCAAAATGTCATTTTTATACTGCAGTATCTCTTTTATTTTTCTATACAACGTATGCATATTATTATAAAGTATAAACAAATCTGTCCAATCCATTTTAAATATGATTAAAGTAATTATATAAGGATTAAGAAAATCATTAATACTTAATTAGAAATATCAAGAAATAATTAATGTCCTAACAAGAAACTAGCTGAATTGAGGATGTAAATTGTAAGAATATCCCAAAGGGTTAGTCTAATGGAAATCACGCTGGATAAACTTTTGGTAATTTTAGGTTCAATTTTTGGGAGCGTACAAGCAGTTAATTAACCTCTGCTTAGGCTTAATGTCAATGCTCATGAATCATAACCTCATGTGTATTGAAAATTTATATGAATTCGAGGTAATGAGTAAGAATTATATCTGTCCGCTGGTCAATTCTAAAGATTGAACACCATCCCCGTAAAAAAAAAAAAAAAAAAAAACACCATATTTTCCCCCCTGTAAAAAAAAAAAAAAAAAAAGCTAAGGATTAAGGAAGGCAAAGTAATTAATGTCCTAACAAGAAACTTTTAAAGCAAGGGAAGGGCGTTGAGATCAATTAAAGCTCCAACTTTCCCATTTCTCATAATTTAATTTGTCCATACCAAAAACTTCAATTAGAATGATGAAAATTGAAAATAAAAGAAAAAAAAGTTGCTTTCAACATAAATACTCTGCACGTCCAAAGCTGATATTGACTCTCTAATGCCTTAGATTGAGATGCACTGTCCATGTCTGTTATCTTTGTTTAGTTTACGCCATCCAATAGCCTATCCCCTATTTAATGACATAATAAAATATATATACGGGTTTTCTTTTCTTTTTTTTTTTTTTTAAATGAATGTTCAAAGCATGATAGTATTAGAGTAACAGTAGTGATTCCAAAACTTTTTTTTTTTTTTTTAAATGTTCAAGCTGGATAGTATTAGGGTAACAGTAGTGATTCAAAATTTCTGAGTTTTTATATTGCAGGAAATTTCATTGGATATATAGTCTATTTTCACTTATTTAACTTCTTTTTTTTTTAATTTAAAAATATAAATCGTTTAAAATTTTGATATGAAGATAAAGAAAGTAATTGATTTTTTTAAATTATAACAAAAATCAACGGTAATTAGATTAAATTATTATTTATCTTAAAATAAAAAATAATATATGAAAAATATAATAAATAAATGTAAAATGATAAAAGATCTTTCATTACTTTTTAAAATATTCAAAATGTCTTAAATTTTGGAATGAAGAGGGTAATTATTAGTGTACATATACAATAGGTATTCAATAGTAAAATAATATTACATGATTAATTTTTGTGAATTATACTAAATTCATCTATTTGGTCCCAAAATAATTGCATATTTAAAGTTTTATTTTAAGGGTAAGATTTCAGGAATATGTGAAATTATTAATTATTTTATTTAAACTATAGAATAATTATTCAATATACACATTCTTATCCAATTTCTATATCATTATCATGCCATTTATGTTGATAGTTGCAACTATTTTCGTTTTTCATTTTTGACTTTTAAAATTTTCTTTCTTTTTCATAATAAATATATATAGTTTTCTTTTTTCTATTTAGTAAAAATTGAATGAATTAAAATAATATTATAAATTATAAAACAAAAGTAATATTTTCTTTTTACCAATCCTCGACAAATTAGTAATAACTATTGTAATTAAACCCTCACTTCTCACTTTAGAATAAACAAAAATATTAATATTTTTTAATATTTAGTGGTGGAGAAAAAATAGATTAAGATAAAATTTAAGTATATATTAATTTTGCAATGGCATCATTGAATAATGACTAAATAAGAAGCTATGACTATGATGTTTTTCTTTAAAAAAAAATTATTAAGGAATTAATTTTAGAAATTGCCCTTTTTCGTAGGGCGGTGGACTTTTGGAAGATGACATGACATTTAAATTTGGCATAGATGATGCAACCCTATCTGTGTTTCCTTGTCAAAAGAGTCCTAATGGCTAATCACTAATCCTAATGGATTTGGATTTAGGGAATGGAAAGTCAGAATATTTAATCTTTGCTAAATCTAAAATTTTGAAATTTTAAGAGAACCGCACCGGCTTCTCTATGTTCAGTGGTGGATAATTTAGCATGATTTCTCGAATTTAATATTATATTTACTTAGTTATTTTTATATATCCTGCAATTCTTAAACTAATAAAAAATGCATATTGATTGTTTAAAAATACGGAAAGATATGAATATTTTAGAGATATATGAATTATATAATAAATAACCAGACAAGCTGACATATCATTTAAGATGGTATTAATTGAAATTAAATAAAAATATTCTTCAAAATCGCTCAGAATAGTCTGCGTGTTTTTGTTTAGTAAATAAAAAATAAAAATAATTAATACTAATAAACTTTGAGCAGAACATAATGGAAAATAAATAAAAAAATAAGCCAAATTCTATCCGTTAGATTTAGAAATAAGTTGACCAAAAGGAAAAATTTTCAATGTTGGCTGCCTGCAATTTAAAATGTAATTTGGCACGAAGAAACGTAAAGCAATTTAGGCTATAAGGCTATAAATATAAGTTTGGTCCTCTGTCCTTTCAATTTCCATGCCCCCTATAGTGTCCCAAATTGTGATTCTTTTAGTAGTTTTTGAGAATCTTTTTTAATTATTGTAGGAAAAAGTTCACACATTTTCCATGAAATATTACATTAAAATATCAGTTGGTATATATCAAGTTAAAAAAATCCCACCAACTCCCTTTTACCGAGATTAATCCATGATGATAAAAATCAATTAAGTTACGATCTGGTAAAATAAATATACTCCTTCAATAAAAATATGAGTCAAACTGCTCGTAAATTATTGACTTCAATAAAAAAATGAGTCAAACTGCTCGTAAATTATTGAAAGTATAATTTAAAAATTATTCGTTCGATAAATTTAATAAACTAATTTTTTACTTGATTTATAAGCTCGTTTCATAAATAAATTGACCTCAAGTTTGAGTTTAAGAGCAATTTGAAATTTTAATCAAGAATAAATTAATTAAAGATAATTTTTTTTTTTTTTTTTTTTTTTTATAGTTTTTTATTTTTATTTGTGTTTGTGTTGTGGCAGTCTAAAAAAAAGGAAATTTAGGAGGCCCACTTTGGCGCCGGAGTGGTGGTATATAGGCTGACAGGAGGAAGGGGAGGAGGAGTGAGAGAAATTGAGGGACATGTGATTGTATTTTTGGTCATTTAGGAGCGTTAATGTGGTGGAGTGATGTGGCTTTACCATGCCACATTCACCTGCCAACAATGTTAAAAATGAAATCCGCTTAAACACATTTCAGTTTTTTTTTTTTTTTTTTTTTGGGTCTAAAAAAAGGAATGGCAGCGGAAGTGGTGGTAATAGCTGAAGGAGGAAGAGGAGAGTGAGAGAATTGAGGACATGATGTGATTTTTTGGGTTCATTTAGGAGGTTAATGTGTGGGTGATGTGGCTTACCATGCCACATCACCTGCCAACAATGTAAAAATGAAATCCGCTTTAACACATTCAGCTTTTCAGTCCCACATCAACATAAATTTTTAATAAGTTTAAACATTAAAAATAACATCCTTCCTCAGAAAACAAGGATTGATTTCTAACTCCGATCTAAAGTCTATATAAACCAAATCAATAAAAAATAATTTTTTTATTAAAATAAAAATATTTTGAACTATACACCGAGAAAAAAAATATCTATAAATAAATTTTAAAAAATTTATATTTTCATTAATTTTATACATTGACGTATCCCACGTCAAGTTTAAATAATTATAATCCTATTATTTGAGTAATTCCAATGCACCATAACAAACAAATAGATGAAATCAAAAGAAGAATAAATAAATCCCAACAACTAAGAATGCAAGGACATGGTTTCCATTAAAGTCCCATCCAATGCCATCTGTTTTTTTTTTTCCTCACTAAAAAGAGAACAGGTGATGGCATGGCAATTTTGGCAGAGACACAAACCAAATGTCATATGACCATTTATTTATAAATAATGTTAAAGAAGTGATGCACATGTGGCCCCACTTTTCTCTCTTTCATATTACAGGAGGGAGTCAGAGATGTTACGTGGTTCACGCCATTCCACTGACCTATTGCATTAACTTTCTTGGAGTCGTTTTGAATTTATACCACTTGCCCTGTTTTCTTTGTAAACAGATCAGAGAAGTCATGATTTTGATAAAGAAAAAGCATTACCTTTCTAGGTTAATTGCAAATTTAATCAAAAAAATTCATGTCTGACCTGAATCCTCTGCTGCTCCAATACTCATAAAAAAGAAAAAAAAAAAACATGGACAAATCATAGAAGGCACTCAAATCAATTGAACATACAGTTTGGTTCAATTTAGTTTAGTTGACAATATGAAAACTTTTTGAAAAGTACTAATTATTACAATATAAAACGTTGAGGAATAATTTCATATCAAAAACAAAAATAATTTGACTAATCAAGATGCACACAAAAAAAAAAAAAAAAAAAGATTTGGGTGGTTTTAACTTCAAAACCATAAATTGAACCAACCTTTAATTTTTTATATTTTCCAAACCAAACCATCAATTTTTCACAATCATGATCTTAGATAGACTACACGCGTGAACATAATCTACCAAGAAAACGATTACTAAAGCATCACTTTTTATAATTCCATCTTAAAATATCTTTATCAATGTGTTCCTACATTTTTATCAATCTTCTATAACAATCAATATCATCTAAAACAGAGTAACTGTTTTAAACTCCTATGGAAGCATGGCCTTTCATTAGAAACACAAAAACAGGACAAATATTCTGCTCTTTCTGATATTATTTTGTACAAAAGCTTGGACTTTACCAGTGCATAAACTAATGAAGATAACAAGAAAATTATGCTCGTTTTGTACGCCTCCCAACTTGAAGAGCCAACTCTGTGTCAATTTTGAGGGAGATGTCAAGTGCTTTTACAGAATGGGTCAATGCACCACTGTGAAAAAAGTTAATGAATTTTAGTAATGAAGCTCCAAGTAGATCAGTAATTTCCACTTATACGTATACTATACATTCCGACAACAAATTCAAATGCATAATCCAGCAAGTCACAGCTGCTAATTCTAAGGAAGAATGTAATATAATATACCAATACCGATTTGAAGTTCTATCTATGCACCCATCAATTTCAAGTCAAAACCTGAAACTGCAGGGCAAAAAGCCACTACTATATATGATTGCATAGTTACCTAGAAATGTAGGTTACACCAGTCTGTCCAATTTTGTGCACTGTTTCAAGAGTAACATTGCCTGATGCCTGTTACAAGGAAACAGATAGATCATTATCTAGCCACAGAAAGGAGAGCAAAATAAGCTCAATGCAATAAATACATCCCAAGATTTAGCATGTAATTATCTACAATATAATTAAACAGTCAAATAATTGTGAAAATAATAATCAAAGTGATCCTTCTTATAAGATTCTTGAGACAGGCCATATTAACTGCTAGTAAGAGCTACCTCAGTCTCAAATCTTCCATTGATCAACTCCACAGCTTGTTTAAGCATGGATACATCAACATCCCCATTTGGCAGTGGTATAACCATATTATCCAACATTATCCGGGTCAAGGAAGTCTTTGTTTGTGATGTATAATCTAACACCTCATTCACTTCTTCAAGTGTCCTCGTCTCGACCTTGAGGGCAAAAAGAAATCAGAACAACATTCAGGAATTAAATTATGATCTTATAAGCCACGATTACATATAGAACAGACTATTTAAAAAATCACAGGGTTTGGAATTGAGAAACAAGATAGATAATGAATCTGTGTTAGGTTTTGCAGATTCATCTAAAATTTGTAAGGTTGAATTTGAGGTTTTGAAGACTACCTCAACCTCCATTTGAAGGTTCCTTTGCTCTAAATACTGATCAACAGCTTTGATGGCATTTATAATACCTCCTGCTATAGATATATGATTATCTTTTATCATGACCATATCAAATAAACCCATTCTATGATTTCTTCCTCCTCCAATTAGCACCTGTAACAAGAGAATGCTACAAAGTCAATCAAAACCTGGTATATGACTGAAAGGAGAACTTATTCCTATGTAACACAACCAAGGAAGATATACGAACAGCCCATTTATCAACTAAACGTAGACCAGGAGCAGTTTTTCGAGTCTCTAAAATACATGCTGGGTGTGCAGCATCTGCCATTGCCTGCAAGAAGCATGAAAAAAAAAATATAAAAACCTCTTTTCCAAATCAAAAAAGAAATAGAAAAAACTATTAACTATTAGGTCGCCCAACTTCGTTTGGTTAATTGCACATGAAAATCTCATTTTATTTCATGGGTTAAAAGACTTTATAACTTCATCTTATTCAGTGTTCCTACCCAAATATTATGCATTAGCTGTGCTCTAACATAAATGCAGGTGAGATGAAATTTTTTGTTATTTACAAACTAAAATGAAAAGATTGAGACAGCAGCAACGAAAGCAAAAAATTGAGAATTTTAATATAACACAACTTATTCCTGGACTGCATTAGTATCAGTACTCTTTAAAATGTTACATTGATCATTCCCCCTTTTAGATTTCCAATCCATTATCATACACACTAGAAAAAGATAAGTGCATACTTTATTGCCAAAATTAAAAATGCAGATATAAAGTAATAACATCATGGCACTTGAATTTTTTTTTTTTTTCAAAATTTAAGGAAATGAAAGAAGAAAACCTTAGTTAAAGTTGCTATTCCACTCATCCTCTGCATAAAGTTTAGCGCTACCCTTTCAGCTACAACAATATTGTGTGCTTGTCCTGCACATAAGAAAAATGAAAAGTAAAGCAATAACTTCTGAATGAGCTCATCAAACAGTATGGAAGAGATTTTTGTTGCTTTATTTCCCCATTAGTTTACCAGAGACTCTTCCAAACTGCAGCCCTCTGTGAACACAATCTCCATCCTTTTGAGACCATTCCACCTAAGTTTAATGCGCATCAAGAATGAAAAAGCATGCAAACCATACAAATAATACAAACTCATAAGAGTGCAGTGAGTTGTTACCTTCAAAGAGGGATCAACCTCATGAAATATCATCTCTGTTAGTGCGATTCCTGCAATGATTCCATCCTCTTTTGCCAAGAAATGGGCTTCCACTTCCATGTCAAGTGGTATGGTTGCCATGCAAGTCACATCTCCTGCAATTGAACGATAGATGTTGCTTGGTAATCTCTCATTATGGGGAAAAACAATTCAGAATATCAGTGAATGTCATTTTCTATATATAGGAGCTCTCAAATTTAAAAGTTATGTGAAAACCATAAAAATCATCCGAATGCAGATACTCATCTCAGCAATACAGATACATTGGAATAGATATAATTTAACTACTTGGTGAATTGGAGATGAAAAGTACCAACTGAACATTAAGAAAAGTGAGGGAACCAAACCTTGATCCCCAGCATCTTCGGCAAGAGCTAGCTTAATGACACCCTTCAAATCATAGGTAGGATGCAAAGGAGGCTGTATCGTCACAGATTCGAACATTGTATTGGGATTTCTAGTTGCAGTAGCAGACATTCTAACAATCCGCCTATGACAATTCAAACTATTAAAACAATATTCAACTATTGGATTAATAAAAAAAATGTACAAAAAAATCCTTTTGAATGAGAATGTACCTTGAAGTTGCATATAGATGAGGAAAAGTTAATGAAGAACTAAAAATGATAGTAGCCATTGACAGTATTGGGCTGAAACTGTTTTACTTTTCTGAGCGGGAGCAACTGAGCTTCTAATATGAACTGCAAATGGACGTCAAAGACCTAAAGGATCATCCAAACAAGTACATAAATAAATAAATAAATAAACTAAAAAGCTCAACACCAAAAGGACAATTCTTTAAAGTTAGATTTTCGAAACTTTCCATCTCAATTGGCATCAAGTTCAAAATCACAAATAGACGCTTGGATATTAACATGGCATACACATAACAGATTAAAGTTATCCACAAAAGTTAATCTTGTTTAGCTGTGCAATTACAAAATCATTACCATTTAGAAAGCAATAGAGTAGCAAAAACTGGCAAAATTCATCAGACAAGAAACGAGAGCTTTGTTAATATCAATTGAAATAGCAGAAGATAATCAAAGGCGAAAATCATCTTGTCATGAGCTACCAGGTAGAGAAAGTAAAAGCAACAGTAGAGAATTTAGAAGTAAAAGCCCCTCACTTTGCAGGTAACCGACCACAAGAGCCAAGAATTCCGCCCAATATATCAAAGATTATATGTAAGGGTAATTACCATATACATTCTGAGTTCTGTCATGCAGAAGCTAACATTTTCCTTTTGATTTGTTAGATAAAAGAACCATCAGTTGTGTGAATTTAATTGAAAGGCCAGAAACCTAGTTTTAGGTACAGCGTTCAGTCGTTTAAAGAATACGGTTGTCGTTTTAAAGCGGGTTTTTCAAGTCCGGTGATTTAATGTAACCTTCGACTAGTTAAAATAGTTTCTACACCAACAGGATGATCCATATAAGAAGCCCAAACGAATTTCAATTATCTGCTACTGTGGGCTTGCGTTGGGCTCGACAGCAGCTCAGGTTATATATAATTACATAGTAAGTCATCAAATAAAATCATTCTAATAATAATAAATCTAACTCTCTAATAATTATATAAAAAAAAAAGGGAATTCAAGCTTATAAATTAAAATATTACAAATATAATTTAATAATTTTTCATGTTTATTTATCTTAATGTTTTTCTTTTATTGAAGATCGCAAAATTGTTTAGCTATATATAATAATGTTAATTTAAATTTTTAATACTTGGACAATCAATATTTGATATATAAAGAGGATTTAAATTCAAGATTTGTACAAGCTAAGAGATCAACGAGGCTTACTTTGATTGACTAATTTTTAATAGTTTAATGTTAGTTATTATTTGCACACAACATGCTTCAATAATGAAATATATAAATAATTTGGTATATATTGTTAGGTTGTTGTTCACATTCCCAATTATATAAATAAAAATAGATTAGGAATTTTTATATAAAATTTAATCAATATACTATATAGTTTATTTGTATAATATCTACATCCATTTGGACCACCTATAATAAATATATATTGGAGAAATCCTTGTCACTTTTCTAATCTGTTTTTTAAATTCCAAATTTGGAGGGCGTGATGGCTTATTAAGAATTTATGTTGTAAGAAAAAATACGTTTTTGTTGAATCTTAAAGAGGACAAAAATAAACAAAACATAGCTATTTCTTGGAACCCTTCATTTGTAGGCTGGCTGTTCAAACTAGCTCAAGAGATTGAATATATGATTTTCACGTTTTATATTTCACAAAATTTGTTGAACACAGATTCTTTAATCCTTAAACCAACCTATCAAAAGTATCCCATGTTTTCCATTTTTTTTCTTTTATAAATTTATAATAATTTCTCAGCAATCATTGTCACTTTCCTATTCTTAAAAAGGCACCATTTGATTCTTTCACCATATAAAATAATTTTCGAATATATATTATTGTGGGATTTGTTCATTTTAACTCAATATTGACACACATCAATATAGTAAATTGTAATATCCGCCACTGAATTTTTATCGGGAAAAATTAGAATTTTAAATTTAGAGTCATTACTATTGGAAGCATTTTATTAAATAATGAATATTACTTTTGGATCAAACCCAAAACCATAAATTTTATCGATAAAGTCAAAAATTAAAATTTATATTTTATAGTCATTATTTGGAGGGTTTTATTTGAATATTACCCTAATTTTCAAACAGTCATACGAGTTGCATACAAAGAGAAAGAGAGGGTTGGTAATAGACGAAAACCAGAAATTCAAAAGGACAAATTTGTCCTTAATTTGTTTCTAAAATGGCTGCTAATGTTTATGACTTTCACTTAAAAGAAGTAGATGTTCAAACAGACAAATAAATAATAGTCCACGTTCTTCAAAACCAAACTTAAACAATTTCTTTAATATTCAAATTTTTAATATTATACAAAATGCCAACTATATATTAAATACATTCTTTTAGTCTAATACAAACGGCATTTCAATTCAACCGCCATCTCATCTCTCTTCCCTCTCTAAATTTTCCCATTATATATGTCACACACTGAACATTTCATATTCTTATTTTTACCATAACACAAGAAGATCTTCATACATGTCACCATTAATGGAGAGATTGAGATTTGTTTTTGTTGTTCTTGTTCTAGTTTTAGTAATGGCTACCATCGGTGCAAGTTCGAGACCGATCAAAGGGTTAGAGTTCAGTTATTTGTTCGAAAACCGGTTTCCACGAGGTCCGGTGCCGCCTTCAGGGCCTTCTCCTTGCCATAATAAGTTCATACTTAACACCAGTGACTACGTTATGTGCCCGTAGTATAAATTTTCTTCTCTTTATTTTCTTTTCTTTGATTTTTTGATTTTTGTATTTTCTCAAACTCACTCACATAAGAGAATTTCTTCATTATTCTTTTTATTTGCGAAGGTGGTTTATAAATAGATGGATAGATAGATTAGTTTAGAAGCTAGCTTTGTAAGTTCAATTTGCCATTGTTAAAGAACACAAAATTGGCAAGTTACATATTATTTTTATTCATTCTAGTAATAGTAAAGCTAATGAGGCACCTTTTTTTATCATTATTATTTTTATTTTCATTTCTCTTAAATATATTAAGGATATATTTTTATGATTATTGTTTTTTAGTTACCACAATAAATGTTCTCACAATTTATAAGTATGAGATTCGTCTCGTTTTGAGATTCATAACTGCTTATTATTTCTATGTATAAAGTTAAATATTACAATTACTAGATACTTGGTGAATTTCCTCTTATATGTATATTATACACATGAATAGTATGATTGGGACAAGAGTGACAATTTCTTAAAATTCGGTTGGTGCATAAATTTAAAATAATCCATGGAAATAATTTCTTAATTTATAAATCGAATGTAGGAGTATATTCTTAAACTAAATTTGCAAAAAAAAAAAAAAAAAAAAAAAGTTAGTATGGATTGGGACAGAGTGAGCAATTTCTTAAAATTTCGGTTGGTATGCATTGAAATTTAAAAATAATCCATGGAAATAATTTCTTAATTATAAAATCGAATGTAGAGTATATTTCTTAAACTAAATTTGCCAAAAAAAAAAAAAAAAAAAAAAAATTCTCATTAAATAATTATAATATAATTTAAAAAGGTCTTTTAAACTTGTTGTGAATTAAAATAAATTAAATATATATTATTAAACACTTCAATCACCAAAATTCCATTCTCATTCATCAGTATTGACAAATGCTATATTAATATTTCTGTCTAACTTCTTTAATCTTTCAGTAAAGACAATAAAAAAAAAGGTTTTTTTTTTTTTTTTTTTTTTTTTTTTTGTGCACTCAGATTGCCACTCTACTGACCAACTCGAACGAGTTCCCAGCCGCATTTTTCTTGAATAATTGGGCTGTTCTATGGATGCTACGATTGGTTATAACGGCCCATAGAAAATGCACGAAAACTCTCGAGCTTCTTCACCGATGGATAGGAAAGACCGTATAAAAAAATCACGTTGACATATATCACAATTTTTATTTACTATATTACTATAAATAAAGACATGAACTACCTTTTTCAAAAAAAAAAAAAAAAAAAAAAAAAAAAAAAAAAAGACACACACACATATACTCTTATATTTTTTATTTTTTGTGAAAGTTAATTTTCTAGTTGTTTCCTTTTAATTCAACTTAACATCCTAATCTTTCATAAAAAATGAAAAAAAAAATCCTTATTGAATAGGTAATGTATATCTTGAAGGTTAAATCCGTATTCTATCTTTTTACTAAAAAAAAAATTTCTTTTTTGAAATTTGTCGTAAAAAGTAATTTTATTATATATATATCTATTCTAAATCATTTGTATTAAATGAGTTAGAGAAAAAAAGTCAATTCTAACTAGATATCATTACCAACTTCTATCTTATATGGAATGCGATTCCAAAAATTAAATTGGCTTTTTTATAAAAAAGAGTATAATGCATTTGTCTGCTTTGGCGTAGGGCATGAAACTATATCTGCACTTTAGCATATTCAATTTTATAATAATTGATCTCACGACTTAAAGGTAAAAAAAAAAAAAAAAAAAAGAAAAAAAAAAAAAAAAAAAAGGTATATATTAGTATATCACGGCACAAGGGAAGAAACTATTAATTTCCTCCTAAAAATGTCACAAATCAAATTAAATTGAGGTACTACAACACTCACTAATGCCATCAGTACCATGGAAAAAAAAAAAAAAAAAAAAAGGTATATTAGTTATCACGGCACAGGGAAGAAACTATATATTTCTCTAAAAATGTCACAAATCAAAATTATTGAGGTACACTAACACTCACTAATGCCATCAGTATGGCCTATCATTATCGCTCAGTGACCCAGTCTTGATAATGTCGTTTTTGTATCCTCCACTTGCTGTCGACCTCTGGTGAGTTTACCTCTTAAGGATAATGTTATTATTAGTGTTATTATCTTTTTATGCATCGACACAACACATTAGGATTTTTTCATTATATGATAGTTAATTAGAGCAACGTCGTTGTGATGTCAATTGATTCTTAATATATAGAGCTTTGCTTTTTCTTTAAAAAAAAAAAAAAAATCTTAACTAGAATAAGATTGAATTTTGAATTTTTTTTTTTACTGTAAGTTGTAAACAATAAACATTGACCGTTGAAATATTACTTTTTATCTTAAAAAAAGATAATTGATTGATTGTTGAAATATTCATTTGACATGAAAGAAAGCTAGGTTGGTTGGTTGGTCGGTCGGTTGGTTGATTTATTAAATATTAGTATTATTTTTATGGTTTTAAAAAATAAATTTAATATTTATAGAGATTATTTCTTGTATTAATGGGAAAAGAGACGTGCACTTCAATTTTTCGCGATGTAGACGGAAAACAAACAAACGTTAGTTAGTAATACAACTTACAAACAGGTGGCTGGTAGTTACATGCCGATGGTTGGTGTGGCATGATCAGATCAGATGGTTGGTGTGGCATGATCAGATCAGATGGTTCCAATGTTTCGTACACTACTTAAAACCACAAATTAACAACCTCTTGGACCGCAAACTTTAATTTTTTTTTTTTTTTTGTATTTATCAAAGGTATTTTTTCACTCTCGGTTTTTTTATTTACTGTATGCAAGACTAATCTTTTTGCATCCAACAAAAATTATATTAAAACCCTTCTCAAGATGTTGAAGGGTTTTAATTAAAAATCATTTTCAAAATGTTAAATATGTTATATATTAAAAAAAAAAGATAAATAAATATGTTATATATCAGAATTTACTGAATTGAAAAAGACAACTGAATTATTCTGAATAGTACCATCCAAAATTTTTTAATGTATCATGTACATTGGGATTTACCAAGGTATATTGTTATCCACGTATGGGATAAGTATATGACAGAAATATAGACGACAAATGAAAAGACATTACACGACAAGTGCCCAAAAATTATCAAAAACAGAAAAATGGCATGATAGTGTAGAAATATCAAGATTCTACTACATATAAATTGATGAACAACTGAAATATACTCTCAAATAATACAACATCCTAACCGACATTTCTTTTTTTTTTTTTCTGGTCAAAACTTACTATTTTAGGTTACCCAAACAATAATTATTAATCTCTCTCTCTTATATATAATTTTCATATATCACATCATGAAAACTTAATCTAAATGGTTTTTAGGATTAAGCGCAGCAAAAATTGTTGAAATACATTAGAAGGGTCAAATATTAAAAAGAGTTTGTATTTAGGTATTGTTTTTACAATTTTAATCAATTTTTTTAATTATATAAATCTATATTTTTATACTAATTTAATTAGATCTTATTTGTACCGATCAAGATTATGATATCAATTAAAAAAATTAAAAGAATTTTCTACAATAGAAAAATGCTAAAGTTTTATATAGTTGAAAATTTAACAAGTGGATTACTAAATTTGTTGCAGGGTCCACTTAATAACCGTATCAGCAAAAATTTGACTGAAGTGAAACGAAAGCGACAGTTATAAAAAAAAAAGTAAACACGAGGTATTGATTAATATAATTAAAAAAATTAGTCAAAATTATAAAAATGGGCCTAACATATAGAATTTTATCATTCGGCCTATTAAAAATAGGCCTACCATTAAAAAAAATGACAAATTTTAGATTTTAATGGCTTCTAATATAATTTAAATTTGCAACAATTATGATTTTATCCCGATATTGTATAGTTCAAAATAATAAAAAAAGCTCATATATTTTATGCTAATATTGTATAGTTCAAAATAAAATATCATTTTTTCTAAAAAAAAAAAAAAAATACCATTCCAAGTTTTAATCATGCAAAGATTACTGACTGAGGATATTTAATAGGTCAAATATATAAATCTATTCTAATACCTTTTGCAAAAAAAATTTTAACATCTCTAATTCTTAGTTTGACTTATTAAAAAATTTAACTTGTAAAATTACATATATTAAACATTTCAATTTGTAAAATTATTTTATTGAAAATTTTAATTTATAAAGTTAGATCGTTTAGACACTTGTCGAACAGCTATTGTTTTAAAAATTATTGTTTTAAATATAGATCAAATCAATATTTTGTATATAAAAACCAACAACTTAAAACTGTTGTTTCTACTATCGAGAATTGTATATGTTAGAAAAATTCGTAACTTTAAGACTATAATAGATCTCTAATAAAGTTTAGAGTTTTATGAAATTTTTCGCGAACAATATGGAAATAAATTTATGTATATATTTGAGTATATTTAATAAGAAAATAATTAATTAGTAATTTTTAAAAATTGTTTTAAAAAGAAAAGAACACTAATTATTTAATCTTTTTCTTAATCTGTTTTAGTTACAGCAAATTAAAGTGCAAATAAAAATGACAATTTAATTTAAATGCGTATATTGAATTAAAACTTTTGGATTTAGAAAATTATATCCAAACCAAATTAGTCAATTTTTTAGTTGTAGACAAAATAAAATTATGATTTATGTTTCGATTTGACTCGTTCAAATCAATTTGAATAAATTAGGTGTGTTATAAATATCCCAAACATCAACAACTAACATTTTTATCAATGTTGGTAATTATTACTCTACGTATTATACTTAAAAAGAAAAAAAAAAATAACAAGGTTTTATATAATTGTGGTGGTAAGTGACTTCAACTCTCTCGTAAAGGTACAAATACAAATTCGATAATCGAAAAATGCATTTTATAGGAGGACTAAAAATTTTTAGTCTTTACGGATAGCCTGATGGGATTATACCTTCTTGTTATAAAAAAAAATTTAGTTTGAAAAGTTTGGGGGAATATTGATAATTTTTATCTAGAGTTATCACCTAATAAATTTTTAATAAAAAGGAAAAATAATAATAATATATTCGGACAAAATTTTACCTCCCTTCTTCCTTCAAAGAATGTCAAAGGTGCTTTCTCAAAGAAAAAAAAAAGTCAAAAGTGCATGTAAGATCAATTAGGTGTAGAAAATAAATGAACTGCGTACCTACGATGGGAGCTGGCAGGTACCTTATTAATTAGTAGTACAAGCCATTGAACCGCTAATTTTCAACTATTAATTATGCTCAAATCTATTTAAAATTTTAATTTTAATATTTATATTGAAGACCCCTTAATAATTTTTATATTAATACCATCTAAACTTATTTAATTAATATTCAAATTTACTTTAAATGAATTAGGAATAAGCGGGGTACTTGAAAAACCTATCTCCATTATACTCCCAATTTGTTTAATATAAAATTAAACTAGCAAAAGCTTAATTTGTCCAATTCCATTAATTTATTATATTTTTTAGTTTGTTAATGCTTTAATAAATTTTCCGATTAAAGAAAATATATGTAACATAATCACATATTTTTCTTCTAGATTGACAACAAAAGTATAAAAATAAATTAAATATCATGATTCAAATTGATTTTTCAGTTAAAATATTGCATTTGAATATTTTTTTATAGCATGATATCCAAACCAGTTCATCTAAAGAGATTTTGAACAGTGTTATTATCTTTTTATGCATGGACACAACACATTAGGATTTTTTCATTATTACGGAGATCAAATTTGAATTCTGAAAGGGATTAAAAAAAAAAAAAAAAAAGAAGATTTGAAACAGTGTTATTATCTTTTTTAATGCATGGACACAACACATTAGGATTTTTTTTCATTATTACGGAGATAAAATTTGAATTCTGAAAGGATAAAAAAAAAAAAGGGATTAAAAAAAAAAAAAAAAGAGGAATAATTACTCTGTGTTACTGTCTACCTCATATCAAATCTTGATATATTCCAAAGATTATAAATTAAATTCTAATATAAATCAAAAAAAGAAAATTAGGGTTAGGCCTAACATGTGATTGCTAGATTTCTTTAAAAAAAATAAAAAATAAATATTTTTTATTTTAAAAATAATAAAATTTTGTTATTTGTTTCTCGATTTCAAAAGTGGGATGCAATTAAGCTTTGAGTTTCATTTTAGAGCGTAAATTATTAAAAAAGTTCAAAATAGAACGTACCTACAATAAATTGCAAAGCTAAAGATATTTATAATTATAAGGCTTTGAAAATATATCATAAGTCAAGTTTCAAAAATGTAAATATTTACGTCCACATAAAGAAAATAATGGAAAAACAAATCAATTACTATTAATTAAGGAAATTTAATGAAGTAGCTGCTCAACGGCAAAATGATGAAAACCCAGCGACCCTTCAATACGAGGAATGAACCACAAAAGTGTTACCATCGTTAGTGTTAATAAAATAAAATAAATAAATAAATAAAAAATAATCTACTGGATCATAGATTGTAGTCAACCTAACTGGACCGCAACATATCAACATTTTCAAGACTAGCTCAGACATAGATGTCCATGGGCCAATTATTCTGGGTAAATGAAAATGCAAGAAAGGAAAGGGAAAGCCGAATTAAGTTTTCTGGTTTCGTGTAAAAAAAAAAACCTCAGAGGCAGGTGGCACTGCCACACACCGACCATATCATTTGGTTATTTTATATTTATACATAATGAAAATTCTTAACTAGAATAAGATTGAATTTTGAATTTTTTTTTACTGCAAGTCCTAAACAAAAAACATTAATCGTTGAAATATTACTTTTTATCTTCAAAAAAGATAATTGATTGATTGTTGAAATATTCATTTGAAATGAAAGAAAGCTAGGTCGGTCGGTTGGTTGATTTATTAAACATTAGTATTATTTTTATGGTTTAAAAAATAAATTTAATATTTATAGATATTATTTCTTGTATTAATGGGAAAATATTGTATTTGAATATTTTTTTAAAACGCGATATCCAAATCAGTTCATCTAAAGAGATTTTGAAGGATGAATATGAAGTTCTAAACCTAAATAAACGATGAATAGTATATTTAATAATTTTATTCGTCTCAAACCTGATTTAAATGAATTGAAATAAATTAGTTATTTGAAAAAGTTTATGATATTTCTATTCCTAATTAAACATCTCAAAAAAAAAAAAAAACATATTTAAATAAATTTAAGACACAATTGAGATTTAGTTTATTAATATTAAATTTGTACAAATTTTGTGTGCGAGACTAAAATTGAAGAAATTTAATTTGATATAACTAAAATTATTATAAAATGTAAAATTACAAGTTTGAAATATAGGCAATGAGAGCTAATAAATAAATATTAACCAGAAAAAAAAAATTAAAAAGGGATCTAGTTTATTGGGGAAGATGAGCCAGAAATGTGGGTGGATGAAGGTAGCTGGGGATCATGTGGGGGTTTCGGGGAAAACAACTAATTGTACTATCTATTTTCGTCTATCAGCATTTCAAGATTCACACGAGCACAGCTAACTAAAAGTTTTTTTTTTTTTTTTTCCTTTTTTTTTTTTTTCCTAACAACACTCTTTAGTCAATCTACTCTCTTCTTCTTCCCTTTGGATAGGGCAATCTCTCTCATCTTCGCAGTGAAGACAATTTATTATAATTTAATGGTTTGTAAGAAAAAGATGGCTATTAAACAATTCGAACTCTAATTTCCATCGTATGCCAATGTGTACAACTCACGTAGGTCAAACTTCACTCTCAGTGTCGGAAGGGTAGCAGATACATTTACAGTGCAGAGAGAGCCAATCGCTCGTTTCAATTTCAAATACTCCTTCTTTTCTTTTCTTTAAAAAGTTTTTTTTTTTTTTTTTTCCTACCACACTCTTTAGTCATCTACTCTCTTCTTCTTCCCTTTGGATAGGGCAATCTCTCTTCCAGTGAAGACAATTTATTATATTTATGGTTGTTAAGAAAAGAGCTATTCACATGCAACCATTTCCTTCTATGCAATGTGTCAACCGTGGGTCAAACTTCTCTCACGTGTCGAAGGTAGCAGATACACAGTGCAAGAACCAATCCGCTCGCTTCAATTTTGCAATATCCTTTTTCTTTTCTTAATATTTTATCTTAGTTATCTCTATAAAAGTCGACCCCCCTTCCCTCAAACTCACTCGCTTACTCTTGAATTCAAGAATCAAGATCGTCTATTGGAGGCGACTCTGCACCAGGTTTATACATATTCTCTTCTCATTCTTGTTTGATTTATACGATTACTTCTTTCTTTTCAATATATATTACTCTACTTTCTTTGCTGATTTGCAGGTGGGTTGAGGATTATCCAAAGAAATTAAAGACAATAATTTTTGTGTCAGATTCAGATATCGGTTGGGTGAGTGTGTTCCATGCTATGCTTGTCAAATAAGCAGTCTTTTGCGAATTAACCTTTGTTTCGTTGTCTGTTCGACCTTGATCAATACATATCTTTTCTTAAACTGTATATCAAAAAACCCTAATTTAGATTTTCTTTATTTTGTTTTCCATAGTGCAACCAGTATCAGGATAGGGCAAAAAATCCCAGATTTTTATTTTTTTGAACTGAAAACTTTCATTGCCTAGAAATCCAGATTTGAATATATCATATCTCTACACCATGAACGAATCTAAAAAATTAGACAATTCTTCTTTAGACCCAAAAGTATTAGTTTTGGTAATCTGAAGCCTACTTTAAAGAATAAATAAATAAAAGGGTGCAACATGCAATTAAGATTCATGCACCTGCATTATACACACAAGCATGCATGTATTTTATGTTGGAATCCAATATATATATAGGCTACATTAGTGACTTTCAGGTGTATAACAAAGTATGAGTATAAGTAAAGATAAGGAAATATTACCTAATAAGAGTTATTTTAATAATATATGTACATATAGGTTTTGATTTCATCATTGCATTAAGAATTTTGGATAGTGAATTAATGCAATTATATATATATACCTATAGTTTTCCCAATGTCATATATTAGACGGAAAAACAATCCTTCGATCTACTGTGAAGGACTAAGAATTAAATTAAGAAATAATGTAATGATTTTAGAAAAAGAAAAATAAAATCATATCGCTGCTCATTGAAAAGGCTTGTGAGATAGGAGATTTATGAGAAAAGGACATCTTAGTTAATATGATACTGGCTTTGGTTTTTCATTGTCATGCAACCAGAAGAAATAAGATGCTAAGGTCGAGGAGTTTCAGAGTTTCATAAATATGGTAGCTGAAGAAATTTTGAAAAGTAGGTCTAGGAGAAAATGCGACAAGGATGTGGATTCTTTTTCGACTTTGCAAGCTTGAAAATAAATGTTCTTGGAAGGTGCAATCCTGATATACCCTAGCCATAGTTATATGAATAAGACTATAAGGTACTAGATATTTTAAATGTTCTCAGGTTTAGACTTAACTTTCTTGCATCTCAATTGATTCAAACTATAAAAAGAAAAAAAAAAAAAATTAAAGGCACATCTTTTCTTTTAAATAGGGAATATTAAGCCCTTAAAATTGGGGTCTTTAATGTATTAATTACAGTCTGCATTGCGTTTAATCTACTCCATAGTCTCTAAGTCTGTACAAGCCACAAACTCGAAGCCATTGGAATATAGTAAAGGTCAATTAGCTTTTGATTTTGAAATTCTTGGGTTGCAAAATTGCAAGCTGCAACCATATATTTATTATCATCGACGTAACTATGCAAAATGGGTTATTTATGATGTAAAGAATATTAATCTGAAGAAAATATATTTATATATGGTTCTAAAAAAAATTTTGAAAGGTCGAACACATGACGAATTTGAGGTATTAAGCAAGGGACTAATTATTTGACAAGGTCATTTGCATGGAATTCAATACCCTAAATTTGTTGTTGCTCCTCCAATGCACAAGGTCAGCCACGCCACGCCGAAAAGGGAACCGATTTGAAAAAAAAAAAAAAAAAAAAGACATATAGTAAAGGGTCAATTCAAGCCGGTTTGATTTTCTGGACATTCTTGGTTGCCGAAGAAATTTCGCAAGCCTGCATCAACCCATATATTTAATGTAGTCATCGGACCGTAACTACTGCCACAATGGGTTATATATGATGTAAGAATATTAATGCTGGAAGAAATATGATTTATATATGGTTCTCAACCGCCGAAAAAATTTCTGCGCAAGCGTGGTCTCGAAACCACAGATGACGAATTTGAGGTATTAAGCAAAGGGAGCTAGATTGTTATTTGACCATGGTCATCCTGTTTGCCATGGGGAAACTTGCACTACCCTAATTTGTTTGTTTGGCCTCGCTCCCAATGGCCAGCAAGGTAGCGCACCTGCATCGCGAAAAGGAACCGATTTTTGAAAAAAAAAAAAAAAAATAGCAGAGTGAGGCGCTTTCGTGTTTGTTTCTTTTTTTTTTTTTGTTGTAATTTTCTTCCGGCTTTATTTATACTCGTACCCAATTTCGTATTAAACGCTAAAAAAAAAAAAAAAAAAAAGAGGTACGCTTTCGTGTTTCTTTTTTTTTTTTTAATTTTTCCCTTTATTTATACTTCCAAGTTCTAAACTCGACAGTTTTAAGAATGTTCGTGCATGATTTACTTAATTATATATGTCAAAAACCTGTATACTTCTTTGTGTTTTAGAAAAGAGCTTAATTAGAAATGTACATTTCAACAGTGAAATTCCTATCAAGATTTCAAACTGGAAAATTTCTGAAATAAATTTGAAGTTTATTTCAAATTAAAGTAACTTTGATGATCTCCCAAGAAGGCTTCGCCCTGCTGTTGCTATCAAGGATTTCATGGGTACCGCGAAGCTAATTTCTCAGCGGATAAGTTGGTTTGTATAGCAGAAGGCTTCCGGTTGAGCACTCATATTATAGATTTTTCCTAACTTGATCTTAGACAATGGCTATGCATGATAATAGTGGGATTTCAACTTTCATATCCTACAGATTGTTTGTAGATTTCTTTAGAGTTATGCTCTACCATTTGTACCAAAAAAGAAAAAATTTGAAGTTTATTGGCTACCTACCATTTTGCTTGACTTGACCAAGAAATCAGAACGGTACGTACTATAGTTTCCAATCATATTCCAATGGTCGACACCAATAAAAGAAGAGAGAGAATCGCGAGGGTTTTTCCAAGATAAATGTGAGAAAGATGAACCCATCAGTCAACAGTTTCATCTCCTGCTATTAGTTAGTTTGTTCGATTTGTACAGTCTTGAACTTGCAGATAATCAAAATTCACTTGGAGATGCAAATAATTTGTTAATTATCCAATATGTTACCCTTAAATTTTTAGGAATACATGTACATTTAAGTTTTTTCCTTAAAATTGAATCATCTGATAATTTTTTAAGAAAAATTTGACTACACTAATTGAATTCCCCTATAAGTCTACAACTAGGTCAAGTAGCATGGTTAAAAGAAAAAAAAAAAAAAGAAGAAAATAATGAAATTATTAAACCAGCTATTTGATTAATCGAGACAAAGAATAATTTCTAATAATTAATAATTTTTATGATTAATAATGGAAACCATAAATTATTTATAAATTTTTAATTCAATTTTGCCTTCTTCCTAAATTAAATTCAACCAAAGTCTTGCTTTGAATTGTTTAGCATGTAAAAACTTGAATTCTAGTTAAACAATAGCAGTCTAATGCAGAGATTAATACTACTACTCTACATCTAAACTAGAAATTAAAATTAAAAATCTGAATATATTCTTTAAATTAAAACGTTCTTATAACTGCTCATTCTAATAAATTTAAAGAAAAAAAACTTGTTTATTGATTTGAATTCTGAAAGCTCCCCGTTTAGATAAATATGGATAAACATTAGCATATGTTATTATCTAAAAGTTTATGGTTCAATAAATTAATAAAAAATGATTCAATAATTAAAATTTTGTTAGCACATGTACATTAATTGGTAGTTTCAGTGTATGATTGAGAGTGTAGCTTTCTCTGGACTCTGCATTACATTAAAGGTGTGGCTGTTAAGCAGATGATGAAGATAAGCATGGGCAAGTCAAAATTCAGCGATACACTTGTCGATCAATTAGCACAATACTCCAAAACTATAATCCCTCAACTTTGCGACATAACATATTACAGTTTAAATAAATAAATAAAAAGAAGAATTAGGATCTATCTTTCCACACATATACATGTTTTAATTAACAAGTCATTCTCTATATAGGAGGATTAGGTCGGATCTTTCCCAGAGAAAAGCGTGATATACAAGTACTTATTCAACGTTTTCTTCTTCTTCTTCTTCTTCTTTTTTATAATATATTTTAATTAAGGTTTAAGATTTCTTAACAGACCATGTGCTTTCTTTTATTGCTTTCAGGTGGGAATTAAAGAACAAACAAGGAAAATTTGTTGAATCATGGCCGGTTGAATAAGTTCCGTGCTATATGCTTGTCGAGAGAACAGTCCTTTTTTGCATATTAACCTTTCTTTCGTTGTCTGTTCGGCCTTGAAATTAATCTTTTTCACATATTTATATAGCTAAATTCGTTTCTTTTTGTTTGAAAGATTATTATTGTTCTAAGTATTTCAGTCTCAAATACGTGAGTTTGTATTGCATATCGGTTTTCTTAAATTCATATTATAATAAAAATGAATTTATCAATTACCGTTAATTACATAATATTTTATGATGATCATTTATCTGCAAACAAACCTTAACACGGTAGAACAAACTCGTGGTACAACGATAATGTTGACAAAAAAAAGAAAGGGCTGAATTGCATTGGGAAATTCTAACTAGTTTTGTTTTGTCTATCCATTCTTGTCCTTTGAAAGAGGTGGGGGGTTAGTGTACAGTTGCAACAAGTCCAAATCATAGTAAATGTAACAATTATTTTCACGTCATATGGTTAGGTCTAAAGCATTGTCGAGTGTATCAGTTAGATGGATCCAGCTTTTCTCTGTTGAGAAATTGGCATTCATTTATAAATTGTTGGGTCCATTATATGTTGTCCTATTTGTTCCATAGGAGTTCTATATTAATTGTTGGAAAATTCCTCTTGGTATATATTATGTTCCTGGTATACAGTTACATATACTTTTAATCAAGTGAAAAATCATTTTTGGGCTTAATTAATTTTAATTGTCAACTAGATGTGAAATGAATATACTAAACTAGGAGAAAGTAACTGTAATAGCTGATAAGAAGAATTTTAAGGTCGATTAGGACAGCGAACGCAGGGAATAAGCTAAGGGACTGGTCGTTTGACAAGGTTTTACATGGAATTGGACAACTCAAGTCTTTGGCAGGTAGGTAACAGGAGAAGAAGGTAAGATTTCACCAAACGACAGTAATATTGTTGCTCCTGGTAGCTTTACTTCTAGAAATGCACAAAACGAGACGAATATTGTCTTTTCCTGAAATTATGACCCAAATAGTTTATTGCAAAAAGCTTGGTGAGTGTAAGCCCAACCCAAGAAAAGCTACGGCCTTTTTGAATTCTGCTCCATCTTCTCCATTTTTGGCGAAGGCACTTGCCCTTCGTCAGTACATGTGAGTAAGTTCATTGCTGATCTCGGCAGTTACTCATGGCAATTCCTAATTCGTGACGAACCCACTCCGCCATATGACCGGAGAAGGAAGCTTACCGGTCATGAAGCGGCCACTTATTCAAATCACCTTATTTTACATCACTTCAAATCATTTCTGTTTGGTTACTCTGCTAATAAACGGCAAGCATTGTATCATTTCTTGTGTTCTCTAAAAGGATCAGATTGCTTGTGTAAATGTTTTTGTTGTATTATTCAAGGAAGCAAGATACATACTTATAGAGTTTACAGATTACATTTGAAATATAGAAAATCTCCAAATCATATCTAAACTATTTACAGTTAAACAAAATCAAATATCAGAAACTAACTAGTTTGACTTGCATCTGTATCAATTTTCTTCGTGTCTCTCTAAAGCGATCAGATTGCTTGTGTAAAATGTTTTTTGTTTGTATCTTATTCAAGGAAAGCAAGATAACTATACTCTACTAGTGAGTTTACAGAAATTACATTTGAAATATAGTGAAAAATCCTCCCAAATCATAACTCTAACTATTTACAGTTACAACAAAATTCAAATATCAGAACAACTAGTTTGACTTTTGGTTACTAAGAGAGTTATCCTCATACAGCGCCGCAAGATTTGAGCTTCCATCAAAGGATGGCAATTCTTTGGGTCGAAAAACAACACGATTAATCGAACTTTGGACTGCGGTTTAGTAAGGCAAATCAGCAAGCTGTCTTGACTACGTGAGATATGTTGAACCCAACAAGCTTGACAGAAGTTTACCTTCTCACGGAGACAAAAATGATAATCAAGGAGTATAAAATGCTTCATGCGAAGAATTGGAAAACAGGTTAGCAACAGATAGTATGTAGCCCAATATTATCACACAAGATATTTAATGGCTTATAACATAACTGTAGGTGGAGTTCTTGAAGCAAAGCTTTTGAAGCATCGAAACTCCAGACGTTTTGTGGCTGCTACCTGATCGAATATCGGCTTCTGTGGCAAGACCGGGCAACAGTCGCTGTCGTTATTGGAATGCCAAGGACACTTTGGGCAGTAAACCTAAAAATAAATAAGCATATTGGCACCTTTGGGTAGAAAGCAAAGGTGTCTTTATCCCCCACAAATACAGGCATCTTGAGGAAAGCTGTACAATTAGTGAAAACTATTCTTTACAAGACGGAAGATGGTAAACACATGATACAGCAGTACCTTTGACCGGTGACGCGGAGAACTCGTGTTCAGTGCTTGCCAATGCTTAGTTCAGCTGGGCTGATTTGCATTGACGTGTGAGATAGCCTACAATCGACAAGCAAAAAATATGGGTCGGCGGTTGAAAGGAAAAGATAATATCGCCAAGGACTCCCAAATAATTACTTGCGTATCTGTTTCAGGATTCATCGCCAAGTACTGCCATCATTGAGACGGAAGTAGCAGTCACACTGAACTTATAGTTGGAGAGCCAACCAGGATTTCTGCATCATTCCTATTCGACACTTCGCTTGAGCAAATCAAGATTATATTGAATGCTCTGACAGAATAACAGAAGACCCACCATTAAATCTCGACTACTAACAGAGATCAGATGTCCAAGGACAAATAATTGCAATGTTGTGGATCTTTAAGGATCGACATCGCTTGAGCAAATCAAAGATATATTGATGCTGAGATAACAGAAGTCCACCATTAAACTGATTAACAGAGATGCCAAGGAAATAATGCAATTGTTGTGGATCTTTGATAGAAAATTTATTGGCCAAACTCAACAAGAAATCCGAAATAAGTTGATTATTATTGCCAGTAACAATAAGGTCATCCACAAAAACAAGAAAATATATCACAGAACCTGCATCCGAATAAATGAAAAGCGAAGCATCTGCTTTGGAATTTTTGAACCCAAAGGATCATAAAAACTGCGAAAGAGCTATACCATACCCTTGGTGCTTGCTTCAACCCATATATCGACTTGTGCAGTTTACAAACAAAGGAGGAATGAGTCTGATCAACAAAACCAAGAGGTTGAACCATGTATACCTCTTCAGTAAGCGGTCCATGAAGGAACGCATATTGACATCTAATTGTTGCAAGTTCCATCCATTGGTCAAAGCAATAGTCAAGACAACACGAATAGTAACCGGTTTGACAACAGGACTGAATGTGTCAATAAAATCTTGGCTTGGACGTTGTTGAAATCCTTTCGCGACTAGTCTCGCTTTATGTCGAGCAAGACTGCCATCGGGATTCCGTTTGATACGGAAGACCCACTTGCATCCAACAACATTCTTACCTGTAGGTAAAGGAATAAGACTCCATGTGCGATTCTGTAACAAAGCATTAAATTCAGTAGATAAAGCAACTCTCCAATTTTTATCTGTTAGAGCTTGAGTGACACAAGTTGGCTCAACAAACGAAGGTGGTGGATGTTTAACAGAAGAGTGAAGTTGCTTTGGTCGAAAAATGTTGTTCATAGACCGTGTCGTCATAGAATGTACACGAGTGGGTAAAACTGGCTCAGGTGAGGGAGAAGCAGAATTTGTTGGAGTTTGGTGTGGAGAGGTTACTTCTGGTGGTGACGTTAATGGAGATGGAGTAGGACTGGCTAGGGGTAAAGTTTGTAATGGAGATAACGGGTGTGGTGAAGGTGGAGATAGAGTAGAAGAGCTAGGTGGAAGGTGGGATTGCCCATCAGTCAAAGAAGAAGGAGATGATAGTTGTACCTGAGTAGTCGACGGCGAATCCACCAATTCACCAACCTGTTGTAAATATGTAGTGTCGTGGTTAACTAGAACATGATAAAAGGAAGGAGTTTGGGTAATGGAATTTAGCCAAGAAGGCTTAGAGTTAGCAACACGTGGGAGACTTAAATTATGAGAGACATAAGGAAAGATGGACTCTTCAAAATTCACATGTCTAGAAACGTATGTTCTTCCAGTTTTAAAATCAAAGCAAAGATAGGCACTTTGAGTAGAAGAATACCCTAAAAAGATACACGGAAACGACTTTTGTTGTAATTTATGACGCGTATATGGCCATAGCCAAGGAAAGCAAAGACAACCAAAGCCCCGTATTTTTAAATAATTTGGGGAAGTTTGAAAGAGTTTCTCATAAGGAGAAGACATAGAGAGTATTGGTGTAGGTAGACGATTAATTAAGTAACAAGCTATTTGAAAAGCATGGGACCAAAATTGAACAGGAAGAGAAGCTGTTTGTAGTAAAGTGAGACCAGTCTCAACTAAGTGCCTATGTTTCCTTTCAGAAATGCCATTATGTTGTGGCGTATGAGGAGTAAGTAAATGTTGTATACCATGGGCGGCAAGAAAAGATTTGAGAGCTAGAAACTCACAACCTCCATCTGTGTAGAGACGAACAATAGATTTTTGAAATTGTTTTTCAACTTGAGCTTTAAATGTTTGAAAGAGAGACGAAACATCAGATTTGTGTTTAATTGGAAATTTAACTCGTTTGCGCGAAAACATAGACGAAGACATCACGACTTTTTGTGATTCTATTGAACAACATGTATCAACCGAGAAGTTATAATGCTCCTCTATCAAAATAAACAGAAAAACGGCGAAAACCAAATCAATTCATTTAATAGGCGGCAGGCCCCAGACAGTCAGAATACACATAGGATCTAAAGGTGATTTTGGACGACAACGGACGAATTCCACCAAACGTTATATAATGACTTTATATTACAAGGAGCAAGCACTCACAACAACTGTGATTACTAGCAGAGAATTAATAAAGGAATCTATTTTTGATAAAAAATGAGACAAAACTTTGGTAGAATACGGCAGTGACCAAGACGATGATTTGCCAGTCATTGACACAACACTAAGCAGCAAGCTTGATAGGCTGTGTAGTGAAACAGTGAACGAGCCGTCCATTGGCCACTCATTTACACGCCATTCTTTATTCTTTCTCCTCTTTGACAAGTGTGAGTGAGCGGCACCCCGTGTTTCAGATCGGATCCTTTTCACCTTAAAAAGAAAGGTAAAAAACTTATCAATGGAAACACTATTGGATATAACAAAATTGCGGCAACAGAGATGAGAATTTTTTTTCATCGCTAGGATCACACATAAACATAGATTATTGAAGAGACGAGCAAGAAATGATTACTGAATTCTGTCTTGCTCCTGTGTTGTTATATTCAACCTGAACGACCATTACCAATAAGTATTTCGTCAGGGCCTGTGTCAATTCGGAAATAAAACAGACAAGTCTTACCAAGATCCACTTATGAGTGACATGATGGGGAAGCGTGCAGAATCACAGAAACCAGGGAGGAAGGAGCTAGGATTCGACAGGTATGGGATTAGCAGTTGGAATTGGAGTGATCGGTTTTTTTATCTTGACAGCCAGTCTTTGGCCGATAATGACCCAAACCGTATGCACTGGTGTGCAGGTATTGACAATTGAATTTTCAATTTCCTTCCATTGTTGACGTGGTGAGAAGAACCGACGTAGGATTGTCCTTCCTATATAAGATTTGACAGCTGCGTTGCATTGTTTCTGAAAGGATTAATTCGGGCTTCGTTCGTAGTGGCGTCTATCATCTGTAGGGCTTGAGCCTTGATGGACATTTCAGAGATATATATCATTTTTTAGAGAAACATGTTTCAAGTCCTAGGGAGGTTTCCATGTAGTTCTTCAAAACAATGCGGTGTTTCTCACTGGTCGCTGAAATGGGCATAGTGGTTAAAGTTCTCGAAATTCGGATCCTAACCACCATTAGAAGAACAGTAACCCCCTACAGAGCCAACAAATAGTGAATGGATGAAAGATCATCAATACAGATAAAGGCTTATTCAATAGGAAGAGCAGAACAATCATCAGCAAAGTGGACTTAAGAGATTGACAGTAATCAAAAACAAATTTGGTGCCACGAAGGCTGTTGAGAGTCTTTCTTTAGACTGCATGAGCTCGAGGATATCGGGACTTATCAGCAAAGGCGTTAAGGCTAAGCTTTAATCTCCAAAGGCCTCAGCTGCATGTTTTTGACCGTAAAGGAAATTACAGAGTAAATAACAACGTGATTCAGAAAAACAAGAAGCGAGAAAATAGCAATGAAGAAGAAGATTAGTCTTGACGAAACCAAAAGAGCATAAGCAGGCAGACATTGAACAGGAGAGAAACGAGATTCGCCATTAGGATAGAGAATAGAAGAATAGAGCAGCGTGACTGGGTAAAGACCAATACCAATGAATAGACGATGGTCAAGAACAAATATAGTAGGACAAATAAATATGGAGCCACAGCCATGAAGGGATAGTATAAACAGGGTGGGTTAATTAAGTGGAGGAAAGCGATGGAGTGCAGCATTATGGTAATCAGAGTATTTTCGGGAATTAACAGAATCTGTCTGCTAGAAGCCAACTTGAGGAGTTTGTAAACCATTGTAAGGATCCTGAAGGAAAAACAAAAACTCTTTTGAGTATTGTTGGCTTCTCGATACCATAAAAAGGAATCAGATTGCGTTGTGTAAAATTAAAAGGATCAGATTGCTTGTGTAAATGTTTTTGTTGTATTATTCAAGGAAGCAAGATACATACTTATAGAGTTTACAGATTACATTTGAAATATAGAAAATCTCCAAATCATATCTAAACTATTTACAGTTAAACAAAATCAAATATCAGAAACTAACTAGTTTGACTTGGTACAAGAGAGTTATCCTCAATATTCTCCTCGTGTTGCAGTGCAGCCACCAAAGCCCTATAATGTTTGGCGGAGAGGTATATTGCTATAGTTGACGGCTGAAACTGTTGGTGGATTAACCATTCTTTCCGTTGAACCTACAGAAGCTCGTGTTGGGAGACTTAATTAGAATGAAGAGGAAGATTAATTTAGAAGCTTGAAAGCTTATACAAGTCCGAAAATGAGAATGGGAGGTGAAGGTCCAACGATTCCACCTCTGTGAAGCTATACATTCAGTTTAGAATTGAAATGATTGTTGTTGGCTCCAGAATTTCTTCGAATTCAAATGAAATGGCAACTTTCTGTGATTGTATTACAAGACTTTTTTTTTTTATGAATTATGGAGATAAATGGAGCCAAATTAATTTTAAAACAATCTTAAGCCCGAACTAGTTGGATTCCAGTGTATGAATTTTTTATTTTTATTAAGTCTAAATTTCAACTATATAATTTTAAAATAAAAAATAAAATAAGGGAACAACTCCATTAGTCAATTGTTTTTTTATAGAATGCTTAATCATATATGTGCCCACATTTATATAAATTAACAATTAAAAATGGATTAATGAATGATGAAATGACTTTTTTTTTTTGACATTTAATATTGGTTATTTATTATTAAGAGAAAAAATGAGCAATACAAGTGGGAACAATATCCCAAGTTCGAAAACAAGCCACGTGAGGAACAGATTTAGCCAATACATGAGCTATATTATTTGTTTGTCTTCTTATCCAAACCAAGGTGACATTTGGCAATTGGACTAAAAGTAGCTTAAATTAAAAAATAACTACTCCAAACTCAGACCAATCTTAGGCAGAATTCCTCATAGCACAGTAAACCTGCAGAAAATCGGTCTCAATCTGAATATTCAGGTTGGAGTAGCTCGATAGCAACCAAGACAACATTGAGTAGCTCGATAGCAACCAAGACAACAACCGTTCTTAGCGTCTGAGCTTCTGCTCTGGCTGAGAGAACAATCTTGTAATGAAGACGTTGCTGCTTGATACAACCTGCTGTTGCAAATTTGAAATTAACAGCACCAACGGCTCCATGGCCAACAGAGGGGAGAAAAGAGTTGCAATAGCAACCAAGACAACACCGTTCTTAGCGTCTGAGCTTCTGCTACTGCTGGAGAAGAACAATCTTGTAATGAAGACGTTGCTGCTGATACAAACCTGCTGTTGCAATTTGAAATTACAGCACCAACGGCTCCATGGCCAACAGAGGGGAGAAGAGTTGCATCAAAATTGATTTTAAAAGTACCAACAGGTGGTGGAAACCATTGATTATCTGCAGGAGCATCTGTACCTGTACCTGAGCCTGACGGATTCAGCTGGGCTTTCTTCCAAGATGCGAGCATACTTCTGGCGCGAGTAACTACATGATAAGGTCCTTCTTCCACTTGATTCCATTTCAGCTCATTACGGGTTGACCAAACACTCCATAGTCCCATAACAAAACTTTCAAAAAATTCATTCTCCCACAGCTTGTGTAAATGTTCCAACAGTTGCAAGAAAGTCGGAAAATTCCCAGTAGTAAGCTGAATACCAAAAAACTGCCAACAAAAGCTCACTCGTGGACACTCAACAAGAGCATGGACTAATGTTTCAGCGTTACCACAGTAATCGCATCCTGTATCAAGCTCCAGTCCCCTTCTTGCCAAAGTTGCTTTAACTCAATAAAAGCATGGACTAATGAAATGACTTAATTTGTTACGATCTAAATAAAACTAAGATAAATCTCACACCATTTACAAAGTTTATAATTTCTAAACGAGAATGCAAAATAAAATAACAAGGCGACTTGCTCATAATTCCACTGAATTTCTAAAGGGGATTAGAGAACGACATCGTTTTTTGGAGAATGCTAAAATGAGTGGAAAAATCAACAGGAATGATACTACAGCTGCAAGGATATATACCATCCTATTGAAAGATGACTTTGATCAGTTAGCAACGTAGATCGGATAGGTGGAAAGAATTTTTGAGTTCAATCCCATTAAATACATTTGCACTGAAGGACGGAGATTCGGGCAGTAGAATATGGAGCAGTTTAAAAAAAGAAAAAAAAAATCACTTTAGATGGAGAAATAACAACAAAATTCTAAGAACTCAGAAGGCGACATGCCGTGACATGAACGACAGGCCGTTAAAAGAAATTTGAGGTTCCCGTTTTGCCACGTCAGACACACGTGTTAATTCGACGTCTTTCCCAGAGATTCTATCAACGTCCACAAAAACTGACTGTCCCACCTCCACCTCCAATTCTGCCACCATATAAAACCCGTCAAACGCCGAGAACTCTCCAAACGAGCAAAATATCTACCACAGCCACCAAAATATCTCTCTCCCTTAGAAAAAGTTTTATTCCTGAACTTTCCAGATAACCAACAATCATCATCATCTCTTTCGTCGGATACTTTCACTTCTTCGCTGTATAAAACCTCCTCCAAACCATCAATGTCTAACCACTATAGCGCGCACCTTTTTTTCTGTCTCAACTACCAGAAGGACAAGGATATGAAGTTTTAAAGGGATTTCAATCTCAATATCTTCAGATTTATACGGAGATAATTAATGATGGAGAAGGAGGAGTCGACATCTTATTATAGCGTTCTTGGTGTGAGTATGGAGTCTTCCATTGAAGATATAAAACGTGCATATCGAAGACTCGCTATGGTAAGAGTTTGATGAATGCGATATGGTTTTTGCTTCTTTAATTGTTACTTTCTTTCCTTTCAGTTTGGAGGTTGCAAAATGGTGTGAATATCCGATGTGAATTTGACTTGTTTTGTCATGTTGCAGCAATGGCATCCTGATAGATGGACAAGAACCCCTTCTTTGTTATGTGAAGCCAAACGTAAATTCCAACAAATTCAAGAGGCGTATTCAGGTAAGATTTTTAGGATTTCAAATGGGTCTTCGTTCTTTATAGATAGTGAGTGTTAATAATTGACATTTCTAATTAAGTGATTGAAGTTCTGTTCGCAACAGTGTTGTCAGACCAGAAGAAGAGGTCATTGTATGATATAGGACTATATGGCCCTGAAGAGGAAGAAGATGAGGTGACAAATTTTTTCTCCCCTTTACAGTTACAGGCTTCTATTCTGATGTTTTCTTGAATACGCTTTAACTTGTTTGTTTTGCTAACTTGTTGGATTTGATGCTTTGCTTGTTTCAGGGTTTCTATGATTTTATGCAAGAACTGCTGTCTCTTATGGCACAGGACAAGAGAAAGGTAAGCTTCAGATTTACATTTTCTATCTTTTCCTTGTAATTATCATTTTTCACATAAAGATAGAATTCAACTTCGGATAGGACTCTTCTAGCCATTGTTACATGGGAAATTGAGAAGGAACGGATTCTATAACTCACCACATCATTTTTATTAAAAAATAGAAAATTTGGGAGTTGTCTAAAATGTTCTATGGTGCTTGAGAAATTTATGTTATTGATTCAGATATCAAAAGGGAAAATTATAGAAATTTGACATTACGGTTGACACATAAAGATGCCGGCTTTCGTCTATCTTCAATCATCTCTCTGCAATTTGGTGTATAAGATGTAAAGGTACAGGATAAATTACGGGCGTAACTGATTGGATTCGGGCTTTGCCTGAGATTATGCATTCACAAAATATCCATATGTTTTTTCTACTAGTGTAATTTTTATGCGTTAATTTCAGATTTTCATTATTTCGTAAGATCATAAACTATCCTATCTTAAGAGGATTAACCTGAAAATTCAGCATTTCCAAAACTGCTCTCTTTACAATTAGACATTAGACATTAGACCAAATTATTTAATAGAAACAAGATCATGCATCCAAGTATATTAGATTATGAAATAACTTATGTTGTTTTTGTAATTTCTCGACGTGAAATGTTATAACTTTTAGTTCTGGATCAAGGTTCCCTTGGCCTCTTCCATTTTGGTTGTTAATTATGTAAACCATTTTTAATATATGTGCAGGATAAGAACTACAGCATGGAAGAACTACAGAGAATGTTGATGGAAATGTCACAAGGATTTGAATCATCAGTTTCACACCATGGATCTTCCATTCTTGATGATCCTGCTGGCCACTCTAAAAGGGCCCGATGGGATCCAAACGGGATGATGGATAGCAATGGCTCTCATTTTGGTGTAGGAAGTTGGGGATGTGCGGAGCAAGCAGCCATTGCAAATAATATGGGATGGTGAGAAGATGAGCTATAAATGAGTAATTTCACCATAATGGAGATTGAGTTTTGTGGTTCAGGATTTCGATGTAAGAAGAATATGGATGTGTATGAAAATGATTACAGTTGACCAAGATTTTTTTTGGAACACAGTTGTCAATGTTTATGGTTCTTGGACTTGATTTGTTTGGATTATTGCGTTGACCATAAAATTAGGCCTGGGAATGGGCCAATGTTGGGCCTATATTAGAGATTATTAAATTTATTTTCAAAATATTATTATGACGTGTGCAGTTTAATTAGAGAACACTTAAAACTTTACCTTTCATCAATGATTGAGAAATTGCGGGGATTAATTTAGTGGTAGAAAGGAAAGTTCCAAGAACGAAATGCTTAATCATGTAACTAGAAAACGAGAAGAAAAAGGGTAGAAGATGCGTCAAAATTTAAAAAATTGGGTCGGTGGTTATCAGTACCTTCTCATTCACTCATTACTCTTCCTTAATAAATTAATAATTTATTTATTTATTTTTTTTTTTGTAGAATCAGGCGCTATAATTCTCCTTTGTATTCTAGACTCTTTACATTACAGTCTAAGAGATGTTTATCCTTCGGTTTGTTTTAAAATTTTTTGCTGTCTGTTAGTATTTATCTAGTTTTGACCAAAAATTTTTTGTTTGGCCCAATTTGATTATGAAGACAAAAACTTATAGGCATTTAAGGATATGCATGGCACTATGGGGAAGTTTGCTTGCCCCATCCGGAACAAATTGCGAATTGCAATTGGTTTATCTCTTGGGAGTATTACCAGTCATCAGTCATGTCTCAATTATATCACATAAATTAAATATTTAGCCCATGGTTTTTTTCTATTTGACACTTGTAATTTTCAGCTTTAATCTATATAAAAATTTAACTAAGTCTATGTATACAACGGGGGAGTATTATAAATGTACAGTAATTAAGTCGATTTCGATTGACTTTACAACTATCAATTTTCAACGGTTAGCTACCTTCCACCAATCATTCTTGTGCAATAATATCATGTGCTAGTGCCATGTCCATGCCTTTTATAATTTCAATGAAAAGATCATGATCATGTTCATTTTCATGTGCATGCAAAAGTATAATTTTTATGCATAACATGGCTGTCTAAAATTCCGTCTTCCTACCAAACCTATACTATACGAATACAATTCCCCTATAGTACATTAGTTATTCTACTTCTTTTCACTTTCAACCATATAATTAATTCAATAATAAGGTCACTTTCATATCATTGTATTATAATATTATGTGCTTAGTCATGGAACACTCTTTAAAATTGTATTTATATTAAATAATTTATTCATCTATAACAATTATAAATATTTTTCTGTTTCGACAAATTTAAAGAATATATCTTTGTTTGTGGTCTTCAAAATATTAAACCTTAATAAATACTATATGATTGAGGAAATGAAATCATACGCGTGTAACTCTAACGGATAATTAAATTAATGGTTTTTGATTAATATGGGTAGGGAGCCAAATTTGGACCGTCCACATGCAACCTTATGAAAGAAGCCATCACACCCTGGCGTACGATGAAATTAAGTCATATTGTAAGAACTTTCTCACACTGCATATTCTTCCTTTCCCAAAAATTATATATAAATAAAATAAGAATAATCATCCATTTAAGCCCATCACAGTCTTTCTAACATGAACCTAATAACGTAACATACAATCGCTTTGCTCATACCCTTCCCTTTCAAGAACGCTCCACCAAACTATATTATATTTCAATTCAAATCTTTGATCTCTGCTGCAAGTTAATTCTCTAGTTTCAAGAATTTTAAAGATGAGATCGTTAGCTTCTTTTATGTTGCTAAATGTTTTTCTTTTGATTTATATTGTTTCGCCAATTCAAGGCGGCTCGGATTCAAGAAAGCTTGATGAAACCACTGTGCCTGGTGCTGGTGGACCAACGGATGAGAAGTGTGCCCCATGTACTTCAGATCCTCCTCCACCACCATCACCACCACCACCATGTCCTCCTCCGCCGGCGTTGCCACCACCGCCTCCTAAGAAACCGCCATCAAGTAACAACTGCCCTCCGCCTCCATCTAATTTTATATACATCACTGGTCCACCGGGGAACTTGTACCCTGTTGTCAATGATTTTAGCCGCGGTGGACGAGCTACGCCGACGCCGGCAGTTTCGATCGGATTTGGGTTTCTAGTATTTTTGTTAAGATTTGGGCTTTAAGGTTGTGACGAACAACTGCAACAGATATCAAGATTCTAAATACAGGAGAATTTTTGTGTCCAAAGGTGAAGCTTTTCAATTAGGATCTAATTGTTAATTTGGTACTTTGGTTCATCTCTCATTTGTCCAATAAATTTATAGTCCTTTCTTTCTTTCCCTATTACTACCTCATAGTATTTTCTGTTCATAATCAATCTGATATTATTATATATGTAATAAGCTCATATTCTCTGTTCTTCTCTGTTTTATGTTTGTATTCTTTCCCATCTCCTCTATTTGCTATTCTGTTACCAATTTTGGTTTGAGGAAAATTAAATGTTCATAAAACCCAAAAATAAACAAATCGAGTTTGGCATCCGGATTATGAAATTGCAAGTTCAAATTTAATTAAAAAATTGTAATCATAAATAATTAAATTAGGACAAAGGAAACATTCAAAAATGGTGTGTTTGTATATATTTATTGTGTTGATTTATGGTTGCATTTCCATTTCCTTATTGATTAAAAATTTCATCACTATATGAGTTAGTGATATCCTATGCATAGGCAAGCTTATACAGTTCGCATTTTTAGAATAATGGGTTAATTAAATTTTTATTGGAGGCCTTGTCTTGATGTGTTAAATTAATTTGTCTATTTGTCTATGATTAATAGCCATCAACGGTGAACCTTTCATTTCTATATCAAGATAATGATTTTAATATTATTATTATTATTATTTTTTTTTTTTGATGTGAAACTGCATGTTCTAATTAAGAACATTAGATAAACACTACAATATAGCCAACGCAACCAACAACAAAAGAAAAAATAAAAACTGGAAATTACCCATGAACAGGGGAAAATAAAAAAATATATATATTTTTTTATTTTATTATTATTATTTTTTTTTTTTTTGATGTGAAACTGCATGTTCTAAATTAAGAACATTAAGATAAACACTAGATATAGGCCAAACGCCACCAACAACAAAAGAAATAAAAACTGGATTACCCATGAACAGGGGAAAATAAAAAAAATATATTATTTTTTTTTTTAAACTAAAAAAAGATGGATTTTATGTGAAATAAAAAAATATATATATTTTTTTATTTTAAACCTAAAAAAGTATGGATTTATGTGACACGTGTCGAATGTAAGAGCTTTTTAAGCACCCGAAGAATCCTCAAGTAGAAGTGAAACAGAATAAAGGAGAGAAAGTAGTTGTTCTATTATCCGGAAGTGTCAGAATCGTACATTTTCTAGAGATCAACTTGGGTTTCACCAAATTGTAGGACCCATGATGATTTATCACTATGGGGTTCAGTTCATGTGCTTCATGAGTCATCAAAGAAATTTTGGCAGCTTGTAGTGCTTAAATTCCACTAAGCATCTCTTAATCCCATCAATTATTGCAGTGTTAGAGTTAATCGCTCTGCTAATTACAGTGACTCTTGGTTGCGTGCGAAAGATTAAATTTCAGAAAGGGCCAATTGGGGCTGTTTGATGCGTGGTCAATTTACAAAGCCAATGTTGCCCCCTTTAGCTTAGGCAACTAGGCTTTCATTGAAGCATCATTTCTCTAAAATTGCTTTCTTTCACAATCTTTCAATGGTATTTATGGCAACTACTTTATCATGCATTATTAATGATGGGGAAAAACATGTGTTTAGCTATTGAATTTATTTGAATTTTATCCATTGAGTCTTTACATTTTTATTTACTCTTCAATTTTTATTTTTATTGAAATTAAATTTTTATTTAATTAATGGTTGGGAGAGTATAATGACGTATTTCAATCCGGTGATGGAAGTAACAGAAAATATAACAGCAAAAGCTAAGTTTTAAACTTTTAGTTTTATCAAAAGAAGTCTCTAAACTTATGTTTTGTTAAAATTAAATGTTCGTTTTATTTAAATTTACTATTTACTCTCTGTTAATTTAGGGGTTAATTTTTTTACCTGAGTCAAAGTTACAAACGATAAATAAAAAGTTAAGATCTTGATGGATAAAACTTAATAAGTTTAACGCTTAAATATGTAATTTTCTTAATAATTGATATTGTTCAGCGAATTTAATTTAGAAGCAGTTTTCTTTATGTGTGAATAAAAATGCAATTTTGAAAAAACTAAATGAATTTCCTATTGACTTGCTTAAACAATATCAATCCAATAAAGACTTGGGATGACCTAATTTTGTCTGTAGATTGAAGCACTAAGGAGGAAACTTCATTATCATTACAACAACTTGTTTTGCCGTTCACACTGAAAGGGTAATGACCCTTTTGTCACTGAAATTAATAAAATGTTAAAGTTAGTTAGTACTTTCCACAGCATTAACTATATATTACCGTTCTGTAGATAAGATTGAAAAATCGCCATTTCGACCGAAAAGAAAACTGCTGAGTAATTGAAATTAAATTTTCATATAGCAAAATAAATTTATATTTGATGAAAGTAAGAAATTTTAATTGTTTTTTAGTGTCAATTTGACAAATATAATAAGTGAAATAAAGGGTAAGTAACCGATCTATGCATCTTTCTCCTGGAAATTTATGATATATGAAAATAAAAGATAAAATTGATAAGACCCGATTTCAAATTTCACCAACAATAATATTTTTTTTTTTTTTTTTCAAAATAATGAAAATGTCAATTGGAAAGCCAGTCAATATGTAGAAAATAAGATAAAGAAAAAGGCAGTAAAGACCTTGACAATAACAGCCTGTGCTGTTGGACTAAAAGGCAATACAATAACAAAGGATATCCAAAAATAATTCAATTATGAGGAATATTGTGTTAAAGGTTAGCTAAAGTTCAAAAATCCTGAATTGAAAAAGATTTAGCCTTGGAAAAATCCTGATATTATTCACCTCTTTTCTTCATAGATGATCTTTTTGAAACAAAGAAAAAGAGACTAAAAAAATTTGTTAGTCTATCTCTATCACTTGCAAATGTAAGTAAAGCAAAAAAGATAACTATATTATCTATTATCATCGTACAAATAGTCCACTTTATATTATTTATTTGTTTTTAAAAAAAGATACGTTATTTATATATTCACCATTCTATTCTTCTAAAATTACTAAATGGTCCAAATTTTTTGTAGGCAAATCCCTAAAACAAAAGCTCCAAAATAGCATAATTCTTTAACTAAATAATTCAATTTTTTGTAAACTAAATTAAGGTTCATGAACCATTGCAGATATATAAAACAGTTTAATTCTTGAATGGAAAGTGGAATCGTTGTTAGTTACAACAACTACTACAAGTCAAAAAAAAGTCCTTGTCGAAAAAAACTACAACTCTCTTTCAATCCACCGACACTCTGAAACTCAGAAAAAGACTCCACCAAACCATTCATATCATCACCAGCTCATGCCAACTTAAGCAAAAAGACCACTTCATATTTGAATTTTTAATTTCTTTTATTGCAAATGAAATATTCAACATTGCAAAGTTTTTTTTTTTTTTTTTTTTTAAAATGAAATATTCCAAACATTGCAAAGTTTTTTTTTTTTTTTTTTTTTTTTTTTGAAACTCAAGAAGGAAAAAAAAAAAACTATGGACATGATATTTGATATTATAAAATATCAAATTATTTTTGGGATCGGAAGAACTCGAATTCGACGAATCAAAATTAAATTTAAATTAATAAATTTAGTGAGTGAGGATTTAAGCATAGACGTCAAATTCACTCAAATTTGTCACTTTTGTAGTGATGCTTTTAACATTTTTGTTGCGTAAGGAATCGGTTTGTTTTGAGGATTGAAAAGTCAGCAAAAATAATAAGCCAGCAAATTGGACGCTTAACTTAGTATCTTTTTCCACATGTCTCTTCCAATTATTGGCCTCCACGTCATATATCCTTTAATTACAAGAAGATGCACAGTTTAATAATTAATAATTGAGATGAGTAAAATTAAATTCAGCCCTAAAATGTATAAAAGGGGTAAAAAAAGGTACCAACTTTCTTGATTTTGTGGAACATGGCTTCTCATCACAAAGCTTGTAAGTAGAGAACTAATAGAGATCATCAACTGGTATTAAATTTTTTATTGTAAGGCTGAACTCTCTCCTCCTCAAAATAAATAAAAGAAGCACAAGAAGATATGTAGATGTAGCTCAGTTTGTAGAGCTTGGCTCTTGCAATTGGGCCTTTGTGATTATGGGTTGGATGTCTAATTATTTAGGAAATAATGATAGTATCTTGTACTTGAATTGAATCGATGTCTCACTTTTTTTAAAAACTGAACATGAAATATTGGTTTCATTCGGCTCCTTTATGGAATTTGGAAAATTTTCAGCTATCCAACTATAAGTGGCGAGCAAAAAAAAAAAAAATTGACAAGATAATTAGTTATTTTTAAAATATCATCTTAATTCATCCTATTTCATTATATCCGGGATATGATATGGTTCTGAAGGATGAACTGAATATGGACATTTCCAATAAGATTTTTGATGCATTGGCATTTTCCATTTTTTCATTCTAGTTATCAACGCGCAAAAGGAGTGAAGAAACAAAGATTCGAAATATAATTAAATATCTGTAACTACTAACCCCTCTTCTTTTTTTTTTTTATTGAATTGGAATAAGTTCCCCACACCGTGGTTAGTAGCTACGTGCTCTAATTCTCTGAGGCACAGGCCCCATCCCATCTGCCCTGGATCTGTTATTCATATGCACTCAAAAGGAGAGAATTAATTGAGTTGTTCAAGATTCAAGGTGCTATTGAATGTTCAAAAGCATGATTTGTCAAGATCCAAAGCAACTACACAAATTTCAATTATAGCAGGAACTATTTCATATCTATCGATCTATTCCTCCCTCACTTGTTAAATTTGACAGTTTTCTAATTTGTATAAAATTAAAGAAAATGATTTCATCGAGCATTAAACTTTAATTAATGGTACTAGTCAAATAATTTCTTCAATATTGTGGGATTATAAATTTAAATTCCAATCGAGATTATATATATAATCAACGATAGACATTTTTTTGTCGCTCATTATATACAAAGAAATCCAAAAACAATAATAAAAAAATTAATATTTCTAAATTTGTTTCATCGAGATTCATATTTGTTCCTAGAAGTAACTAATGGGAAAAGAAAGGAGACCAAAACCATGCATATGCCTACCTACTAACACCTTAAACTGAGACATCATCACTAAGTTAAAATCAATACGCCATAACTATAATTATTAAAAGTTTGTCCCTTAATCACGTCTTAATTTGTCTTTTTATAATCATTAATCATTAATCTTTTGAATTGAGAGTACACGTCTTCTGTCTGTAATTGGATCAAATTATGTTCAAAAACTATATATGTCATCAGTAAGCTAGTTAATTAAGTGAAAGCAAATTAAGTTAAATTGATTAATATAACTAATCCTAAGTTATTTTAATGATCACATGGATTATGAAAAATAAGTACAACCTTCCAAACTTGATGATCCAAAGTGGATTCTAGTTGGAGAGCAATTAGTACTATTGTTTTCAAATCAATCTTAATTTTCTATTCTTAATTTCACATCTCATGAACTTTTCTCCTCGTAATCAAATCGATCCAAGAAAAAAAAAAAACAGAGAATTGATTGTTACTCAGTTGTTTCTGATGTCCAATACTTTTTTTTTTCTTAGTCATACTGAGATTTCTCTAGTTTTGTAAACTACAATTTATTCACATTAAGATTAAAAAGTTTATAATAAGAATTCCATTTTAATTAAAAAATTTTTCCTTTAAGGGAATAAAATAGGTTTCTAGGAAAGTAATTTATAAATATCGAATTATCATATTCTGATAGCAATAATATACACAAATATATATTAAAATAGGTTTCTAGGAAAGTAATATTTATAAATATCGAATTATCATATTCTGATAGCAATAATATACACAAATATATATATATATATATTCATATATAATTAGTATATATATATATATATATAATATATATTATATATAAATATATTATAGCTAGGATTTTATAGCCATAACTTCATTTCAATCCTTTATTTTCATTTTAGGTCTATAAATCTTTTCTTTTTTGTGGGTCATATATATATAGCTAGGATTTTATAGCCATAACTTCAATTTCAATCCTTTATTCCATTTTAGGTCTATAAATCTTTTTCTTTTTTGTGGGTCATGACACCCTCTAATTAAACACTCATAATAGCTAAGTGATAAACATTCATTAACATCACCCACCCGCTCTCTCTCTCCCTTTCTTTTCTTCTTCTTCCTCTCCCTTTCTTTCTCTCAAATTGCAGAAATGTCTACTAATAACTTCGCCCTAATTCTTCCCAACTTCTTCTTCTTCACCTCTATACTTCTCCTCCATCTTCCAACCATGACCATGTCCGATGACACTTGCCCATATCCCTGTTATCCTCCGCCCACCGGAACAGGAACTGCCACCGGCACAACCCAGCCATCTCCATCGTCACAGTCAGGGTCATACCCACCACCGGCCGGAAACTACCCTTCACCGACTGGCAATAATAATAACAACAATTTCCCATATAATAATTACTACCCTCCACCGTCTTTTGGTAACAACTACTTTGGTCAACCTCCTCCTGACCCTATCTTGCCTTATTTTCCATTTTACTACAGAAAGCCTCCTCACAAAACTGATGTTTCTCCGGCCGCCGTTGCTACAAGGTCGACTTTCTTGATTGCCATGGCTCATGTATTCTTGCTTTCTCTTTTGTTTTCGGTTTTTCTTTAATTATAATGTAAGTGAAAATTTTGGTGCAATTTTAGTCTTTTAGAGGGCTTTTAATTGAATATTTACATGTATTATATTCTTGTTATGACAAAGTTTGTAGCTTAATATATTTGATCTGTTGCAGTTGAGGAAAAAGTTTAGGAAGTGCAAGACAACTTTTCTTTTTCTTGCGATAATCTTTCTTTTTCGTTAATTAATTTCCATTTAAATTAAGGAAAATATATATAATTCTTTAATTATGATGTGAAGGAAGTGTTATTACACTAATTATTATTCGATTTAATAATTGAGTGTTTGTGACTTTTAATAAATTAAAATTTTGCATTAAAGACATGTTGGTGATGAAGAGAAGGACACAACACACAAGAAGCTGCATAAGGGACCCAATAACCCAACCTTTAGTTTCTTCTTTTTCATTTATTTTTTGTTGTTATTAGGGATTGTTTTTAATTTTTTCCCTTTTTTTTTGTTATTTATTTAATTTAAAAGTTTTTTTTTTGGGTCTCAATGTTTATTAGGGCATTGTGACCACTTAGCAGTACATCACCTATTTTGGAAGAGATCCTTGTGGAACATGGTATTGTAGGGATATTAAACGATGGGCTCTAGGAACCTTCCTTACACCATTTTATTTATAATATATTTTTGGAAGAAAAAGAAAATTTTAATTTCTACTAAAGCCATCCTTACAATTTAATATCTCATATTCATATTCATAATTCGAGCTTTAACCTCATCCCCAATTGGTCATTCAATTTTTTTTTTTATCCTTATAAACAAATTCTACAAATGCAATTCGTTTATAAATTATATTTTTTTTTATTTAGAATGAAAAAATAAATATTTTAATTTTACGAATTCAATTTATGGAATATAATATAGCTAAATTAACTATTAATTAGGTGAAATTCCAAACAAAGTTTATAAAATTAAATAATTTGAATTTTTTTTATGACAAAATAATCTATGCTCTTAGTCTTCTAAGATTATCATATCAATAGTATTTTAACAATTAAAAGTAAATGAAAATTTTAATTCTGAATTTATTGCAAATACAATTAATATAATTAAATGATATCCTTTAAACTGAACATACTAAATATTAAAAATTTATTTGTAAATGACCGGAACTCATTTATAAATAAATGTTTAAAACATTTATTCTTACTAAATGGAACGTTTAATTTTATTTTGATTTAGCATTTTTACTAAAATCTTGAGGTCGACATCCAGATAAAAAAGAAATTTCCTTATAGACATGCATTTTTAGAAGTCATAAAGGGCCATAGTATGATTACACCTTTGTAATTTAGTTGGGTTTGGTTTGCCCCCAAATCAAATGCTAAAGTAAGCATCTGTTACCTGTTCAGCTGCTCCCTTGTCTCGAGGTAACCTCCCAAATGAACCAAATTTCAAAAAGCAACTCTTTTTATATTTGTCTTTCTTTCCTTCTACTAATTTTTTTATGCATTAGAAAAAATATATATATAATTATTTAAAGATAAAAAACATTGTTGTTAATAGTAATTTAATAAATTGTAATACTTTATTTTAAAAGTGAAAGTTATTTTCAGAAAAAAAAAATCAAAAAAGTGAAAGCTAGAAAATTTGAAATCGTGAAAAGATTTTCCTTCAAAATCACCTCATGCTTAAGGGTATATTAATTCATCCGCGTAATAAGAATATATACATAGTTTTTGCAATCAAGAGATGTAATTTCGATAAATATATTTTTTGTTACACTTCCTTGAATCAAATTTATGTTACAGAAAAAAATTTTTACCCTTTTAAAAAAGTGGATTGCACATGAATCTTTCACTGTTAGGGAAATTGGAAATTGCTTAATTAACATTTTTGGTGAAAGGAAATGTTTTTAATAATTATTGTGTGCAAGTTTTGAATTGGTCTAAAAACAACTACCAACTCACATGAAATAGAATAGGCTATAGTCCTATTATGCAATTGCTATGTAACATTTGTAACAAACCTTTGACTAAAAGACCATATCCTTAATTTCGTCACCGCCTGTTACAGGTAACAAACGCATTCTTGATATTTGTGCATAATGGAATATATGCTTTTCCAGGAATAACTACAGGTAACGACAAATGAAGCGAATACCACCACTTACAGAAACCTAAATAATGTTTTCTGTCTTCATTTATGAAATTCAAATAAATTACACGATCTTTTACACACACAAAAAAAAAGGCATCGTTCGCTTACCTTCAGTCTTTTATAGGAGGCAAGCAACATACTTTTATTATGGGATTATATTAATAACTGGTTTCATTACAGATTATAGACTAAACTCCTGTTGGTGTTTTGGTATACGGCCTCGCAAGAGCACTCTTCAAGAATTCACCATTTTCATTACCTAATCAAGCAATGACATAGGAAATGCTATCTCCACTCCACACGGTATAATTGCAATGATTAGAGATTTTTGTAGAACACTGCCTGATCCAGCTGCCATTTGCTTTGTGCTTCTGCTCATCATCGGCAACTGTTATAGAATCTTTTAGCCGATAGTCATCACAACTCCGTTTAGGAGGCGACACCGACGGCTACACCGCCCATTCCTGAACTGCTGCCAATTCCAACACCTTCAATGTTTTTCCGCACCATCTCACTGCTGTTTCTCCGGTTTCCCATTTTCAGCTTACCTTCAACTCTCTGATCTTTTGACACTTTACTGTTCTCTGACATTCTATGTCTTTGCAGACTAGATTCCTTCACCTTCTCTGACTCCTTCCCAGTGCCACTATTTTTCATTACAGCTTCGATGTTCGCTGGTAAAGTTTCACCAGCTTCACGAGGCTCTATCACATGGCAATCAGTTGTCCCAAAGGACTCAACATTAGAGTCAGCATTGTTATGTCCTGACTTAGAAAGCAATTGTGATCTTGTAGCACCTCTACTCCCTGGACTAGGTGACTTCTGATGTACTTTAGCTAGCTTGGTTTTAGATGATGTGGCCTGAGACATAGTAGAAAAGCAGGCTTCATTTTCTCGCAAAATATATATATAACTCAGATAATACAAACAAAAAGTCATTTTCAGGCAGGTACTTTTAGCTAGCTTGGTTTTAAGATATGTGGCCTGAGACATAGTAGAAAAGCAGGCTTCATTTTCTCCGCTAATATATATATAACTCAGATAATACAAAACAAAAGTCATTTCAGGCAGAAAAGGGAGTGAACTTGGCTAACATCCAGAAAACATCAACAGAAAGGGTCAATGTAGAGGCCCTCACAAAGGGCCATCTTTCATAGCAAATGAAAGCAACCTAATATAGAAAATCTCTAGGCAATTCCCTTATCATCTTTTTAAAAAAATAGATTCCCTACAAATTAAAATAAATCTGCCTTCAACAAGTCTCTTTAAATGATAGTTCCTTCAAGTTCAATCAACGACAGAAATGGAATATCAAATATTGTTTACAGGAGCACAAATGGTCAAAATGAAAAATTGATTCCTTCAGAAACAAAAAAGTATAGAAAAAGCCTTGGCAAATTTTTGGGGATGACATTTTAATCGGTGCATGAATAATGATAGATTAATTAATAAACATTATTTCCTTTAGTCTTCCCCTATGATTCATGCTTCAACTTGTAATTATGTCGTCATATAGAATTCCCCTTCAAACAAAGTGTTTCCTCATTCAACATTTGGCATATAGTTGCTTACTTTTCGCTATAATGGGTTTGGGAGGAAGAAAAAAAAAAGAGGAACCTTGTGTGCAGTTAGTCATGGCACTAAGCATTTCTTCCTACCTGAAAATAGATTAATTAATAAACATTATTTCCTTTAGTCTTCCCCTATGATTCATGCTTCAACTTGTAATTATGTCGTCATATAGAATTCCCCTTCAAACAAAGTGTTTCCTCATTCAACATTTGGCATATAGTTGCTTACTTTTCGCTATAATGGGTTTGGGAGGAAGAAAAAAAAAAGAGGAACCTTGTGTGCAGTTAGTCATGGCACTAAGCATTTCTTCCTACCTGAAAATAGATTAATTAATAAACATTATTTCCTTTTGTCTTCCCCTCAAAGTTGATTCACGCTTCAACTTGTACTTAGGTAGTCATATAGAATTTCCATTCAAACGAAGTATGTCCTCATTCAACATTTGGCATAAAGTTGCTTACATTAAGCTGTAAGGGTTGGGGAAGAAAAATAAAAGAGGAACCTTGTGTGCACTTAGCCATAGCAGTTATCATTTCTTCCTTCTTTAAAGATGCCAAATCTAATTTCTTAGGTCACCAACCAACCCTAACAGCATTACAACATTTCAGCATGAACCCTTCAACCATTCATGATACAGCTTATATGTCTGATGCTTGATCCCTCTCAATACTTATAGTACTTAGCAGCAGAATTTTGTAGTATGCTGAAAGATGTTCTCGTCAGAAATTAACAAATGCAGAACAAATCTGTTCATTTATAACTACATGCACATCACATGAAAGAACACGACAATTGATCTACACAACTATTAGCACGTGGCTTATGATCAATAGACATGCTTATTATAGATTGACTTTACTACTATCTTGCCATTAATTCAATAAAATTATTGAATTTGTTAATTATTACTATGCAAAATGACTACATTGAGACCAAGCAGTGGAAATCTGCTAATGTACCTTGTTTCCACTGGAACCTGGTGATGCAGCACTGTTGTAGAAAGAAGGCATAGGAGTTGCTTTGAAATTAAGGCTTTTCCGCAATTGTTTAATTTCAGCCTCAGTCTTTTCCTAAAACAATGGTAATCCGTTAAATTCATACAAATTAAACTGCAGGAGAAAATTATGTGTAAGAATTGGTGTTCAAATAAAAGCAAATTAATCCATTAAAACCTTAATTGTGCATTTGGGATGTCCTTTGGCACTCAATCAGAAGTTTCACAGTACACAATAATTGAAACTTCTAATAGAGAAGCATTAACATTTATACCAATCTTCCTTTGACATAAATGAAGTAGGCCACACCCACAATTAAATTTCCAATAATTTTACTGATAATAGTATCATATAGTTATTGAAAGATTTCACTTACTTGTGTCCGCGCTTGAATCTGATTCATCTCAGCCTCCTTAGCATGCATTTTTTCTTCTAACTTCATATAGAACTGAATCACAAGAAGAAAGAGGTAAGTATTCAAATCCCTAAAGTTTAAAAAAGTCATAAATAAAAAATAGCAATCTAGCTTGCCTCTTTCCTCCTTTCTGCTCGTTCATGACTTTTGAAATTGAAAGCTGCAGTAGTCCTCCTTGTGTCTGCCTTAGCTGAGCTAGCAGTCTGCTTAAGCCTGCAACATATACGATTCGACATATAAGTCAGAAGATATAAACATAAGCATTTTCACAAATCAACAGACACAATGATATATCCAACATACCTGTTTGCATTCTGAGTTGTTCTTGGTTCAACTTTCTTTGATCCAGAAGGTTGAGATTCAACTACTTTCTTTAACTTTGGTTCTTTTTCACTAGCAATATAAGAAGATAGGTAGTTTAAATGGATGTGATCCCATTTAACATGCAGATTTGCAATTTGCAAGAGACAGCAAGTACCTCTTATTTGCAAGATTTGATCTTGAATTATAACCTTCAGAATCCTGCGTACAAAAGACCAAGCAAATTCCAGGAAGAGCTTCAAATGAGAACATTAAGTAAACATAAAAAATATACAGTTGACAAACCTAGAATATTGCCTTAGGAAAGCAAACCTCTCTTTTTGGAGTTCTAAGCAGCGAACGTCTAGTTGGAATGGCAGCTTGCGGCAACTCATTTTCTGATTTCATTCTTTGCGAACTTTCTCTGTCCCTTCTATTCTGCTTCTTTGCAACAGTTTTTGATGCATCATTATAATTGCTTCTCTTGAATTGGCTGCTATTAACTTGAGACTTCAATCCACGCTTTATATATTTACTCCCTATTGCAGCTCTTAACTAGAGAGAGAGAAAAATAGTGTACAGGTTATTAAGTACGCCATTGGAAAAAATTTTAATACCAAATATGGGACGGACAAAAAAATACAGCACATAGGCATATTTCTGGTAAGAAAGCAAGCTTAAACCCAATTATCCTACACCAAGAGATTATTGTTTTCTGAGCTTGCACGAATCATGATATATTTTTATTCTTTTTGACTTTTTTTCTCTGCCTGTAATTAACAAAAAGTCGTTGATAGAATATAAATCCAAACCTTTGGAGAAAGATTATGCTGAGGAACTGTAGTTGTTTGATCAATCCTAGCCTTTTCGCTCTTTTGGGATGCGTCAATGGATATTGATTCTTCCCCATTAGCAGTAATGCCATTCAGGTTCTTGCTTACTTCTATTTCTCGTCTATCATTATTGTTAGATCTAGTTTCAGTTTGATGAGCTTCCTGTGGTATAACATTTTCAAGTACACATTCTACCAAAACATTGTCTGAAGCAGGTTCTATTTGAGATTCAGAAGACAAAACATCAGGATCTTCTCTTTCATATTCCATTCTCTCATATTCTCCAGGATACTCTGAACCATCAGGGCTCTCATCAAAGTTTGCATATTGGCTGCTATTGTTTGCATGATCAAATTGACCTCCAGCATATCCATCATATTCTGTATAGTCAGCATTCTCAAGCACATCCTCATCAGAGTGATCATAATTGCTACTTTCAATGACATTATCATCTTCTCTGTAACCCACATCTTCAAAGGCATCATTTTCACTTTGGTATTCTCTCCCACTTTGGCCCTCCAAGGAATCTGGTAGCCTCATACCCTTTTTCTTGAAATGGGCTTCAAAATAAGCCTTTTTCTCAGTAACTGAACCTGGTCTTGAGTATTTCTCAACCTCTTCAAGGTATCTATTGTGAGAGAAAGACGACCTCCTTTCCCATGACAAGTTTTCACTTTCAAATCTTCCAAATGATATAGAGCCAGAGTGCAAAGAATCTGTCTGCCAAATTTGAAGGAATGGAGTTAAGAAGCTGACAATGGAATGAGTAATCCGCAGCGGCAGAGCTAAAAACAAGTTAATATTCAAGCAAGCAAACTTCTATTAATCCAGAACGTGCAGAACAATTGGCAACAGGCCAACGGCCACAGAATCTCACATTTTATAGCAGATTGACATTTATTATTATACCGAGTCCATATAAGATAAAGAGATAAGGAAAAATAGCTACTTTGAAATTAATATACTGTTTTATAACAGATAAATATAGGAACATGAATTCAGAATTCCATCATATTGCTATCAAAGATACACAGTGTTGCCCTTCTTTATATTGAGAAGCCAAGACTTTCGCTACTGCAGTGTGGTTGCTGTTTAGGATAAAGCTCTATCCAGGGATTATCATGATAGTAATTCACCAAAAGAGCTTTATTTTATTTTATATATTTATTTATATGTGGATCAAATGAGGTTTTTTAGAAAATAATCATTGAAGAATCAGATGCTACTGTGCAAGTTTGCAGATTTGGCAACGATAATGATGCTAATAATAGTTAATGGTAGTACTGAAAATAGTGAACCATCATCAATAATCAAACATCAAAGCAGAAAGCAACCAAATTACTATTTTTTCCACCTAATTTTCCAATAAAATCACTGATAATTAAATCAAGCTTGGTAAGAAACGGATTATCAAACTCAATCATGAAAAAACATATAGAAGTATTAATCACAGTTAGATCCTTGAGAATAAAATCAGTAAAGGAAAGGAAAAATAATAATAACGATACCTGAAAACTAACGTTATAAGGTTCCTCAAACTCTCCCGCCATACTTGACCAAATCAAGCGCTAAACCACTCCCAATCACCTGCTAATACAAAACAAATCAAGATACAAAAACAATAACAAAAATCATATTACACTCCAGTTCCTAAAGTCCACCATAATTACCTTAAGCAGGCATTTGCAGAAATAGAACACGAAAAAATTCACTGATACTTCCAGCAGAGATCCAAACTGACTCCAGAATAGCTCTGTCCAAAACCTCTTCGCCGCCAATGAAAGAGACAGAACAGTTCTTTTCCTTATAATGAAAATAGAAAGAGAAGCAAAGAAAGAAAAAAAAATGCTTCTGAGAGAATGAAATAAAGGAATCGCGTGTATTAAGAGTAAATGCCAAACACCAAACACCTCCCTACTTACAGATCTCTCTCCCTCTCTCTCTCTCTCTCTCTCTGTGTCTGTCTACCAGTGACAGAGATCTCTTTCTTCAAAGGAAATGATAACTTTCTCTGTTTGGTGTGAATGTACTGTTTAGTGACTTAAAAAAAAAAAAAATTAAACAACGTGTGAATCTAATCAAAATGGGGATTGCTTAAAAAAAGGTTAATCAAAGCCATCATGTGCTGCTTCTCCTTCCTTCCTCTTTTTTTTCTTTTTTGTAATTTTTTTCTTGTCTTATTTTGATCAGGACATTCAATTAACAGTAAACAGATACTTGACCAGTTTGTTCTAACAGCTGTTGGTTGATTTGAAAATTTTTAGATAATTGGATCAATTGAAAAAGTTTATGGGTCACCTCAAAAAAAGAAAAAGAAAAAGTGTATGGGTCAGTTTAATAATTTAGCTTAAAAACTATTTCACGTGTATGATTCTCCGTCCGTCATCTCATATTGTGGTCCTCGGGATCAACGGTCTACAATGCGGGATCTGGTTTGGTGAATCTAACGGTGGTATCCGAATCAAATGGTGGATTGGACATGAACATATATGGAAAGGTAGGCTTCCGCCACGTTTCAGTAACTAAACTGTTGACTTCGTTTTTGACTAATACAGTTCTGTAATTTGGATTAACCATTAATCATAAGCTAATTAATTACCTGCTGATTTTTCTTTTTTTTTTTTTAATTATCTTAACCAATAATATTTTCTTTTCAGTCTTTATCTTTTGCCTTTTGGTTAATTTTCTAGAGTCTAATAATTCTTTTAAGTGTCCTACAGGTGGCCAATAATAGCAGTGCCAGTCAAAAGAGGCCAGATAGCAGTGGCCAGTGAGCCCAATTAATGTGGAAATGAACCCTTTTTTTTTTTCATGATAGAGAAATATATTGCCTTTAGCAATTAGAAATAAAAAGAAAAAAAAAATCCTCCTCCTTGTAAGTTGTAAGCTGGTTGATTAGGAATATAATCTAATAACCTTCTTATTATAATAATTTATTTTTATTTTATAAACTGACAATAAGCTACGAATTCTTGATTTGATAAATAAAATTCATCTAAAAATATAATTCAATAGATTAATTTATTTGCTAATCATATTTAAAAAGTTCAACCAATTCAACTATCCATTAAATATATTTTCATAATTATAATTGTACTTTATATCCTTATCTTCAATAAAATATAAAGAAAAAGATTGATAATAAGATAAAGCATTTCTTTTCTCAAACAAATCCTGTCTCTAGAAAGCTTGTTCTGGTAAACAAATCAAAATAATGATTGTAACAATTGAGTTGTGAGTTTGCCTTTTGAGATCACTTAATTTTTGTCCAAACACAGAAATCAACCCCACCCAAAAAAAAAAAAAAAAAAAATCTGGTAAACAAATCAAAAAATAATGATTGTTAACAATTGAGTTGTGAAGTTTGCCTTTTGTGAGATCACGTTAATTTTTGTCCAAACACAGAAAATCAACCCACCAAAACCCCCAAAAAAAAAAAAAAAAAAAATGGCTGACCTGATCTAAAACTAATATCCAAGTGGGACCCCAAAACTTTTGGATTGCATGATTAAAACTATAGATTAATACAATGATTAGAGCCGTTAGATTAAAGGGGTCCATGAATCCATTCGCTTTGGTTAAAGCTTTGAGCGAAAGCCATTGGGAACAAAACCACAATTCCATCATTGCACGTGCATGGGCCGTGCATGTTTCGCTCTCTCCGGCAATTGTATGTTACTGCCGGCCCACGCTAGCCTTGTAAGTTCAGATTTCTCTCCTCCTCCAACGATCTGAGGAAATTTGGAGTTGGATCTCGACCGTTCATGTTAGATAGTTGGACCAACTGCTTTGTGGTCCTACCTGCACGTGTATCAATGGAATGGATTGCGCCACGTTGGTGGCAGGAGAGTCGTGTGCCATTCCTTCCATTTGCAATCGAGCATGGGATATGGTAGTGGTTCTTGAAAATCCGACCTTAATCCCCTGAGATGGTACATGGATTTTTATTGAATATTCTTTTTGGTGTAAAATTAATTTAAGATAAAGATCTATTTAATCTGTTCTCAAAAAAAAAAAAAAAAAATTTCCTTATAAAAATTAAAAAAATTTTGAAAATGAGAAATAGTTTACTTTTATTCTCATTTTTCTTCTCCATATGAGAATTTACATTCATTTCCTCTTTTTTCTTTAATATTTCTTTCTTAATTTGGACATTTAAAAGTTTATCCTCTTAATTTAGAATTTTGGCTGCCCTACTGCTTCCATTAATTCAAACTTTTAGTATATTTATTTTTTGTAATTTCATATATATCTATATCAAGATTTAGCGAGCTAAAATAAAGATAGTCATTCTCTTATTTTTATCTATTGCTTCATCCGTTCATGACTTGAACATGAAACTCAACAAGAGACCTCCAAGATAGGATTTAATGGCAGGCCCTTCCTTCCTTCCTCCCTCCCTCAACAAAAAGAAAAAAGGAAAAATAGTGTTTTGACTAAACATTTAACATTTTAATTGGAAAGGTCAAACATTTCAGGTCCTACAAACAGATGTACAAGATTACATTTGGCAATAATAAGCATTGAACATCGACAATAAGCCAACTCTCTCTATTCCCTAGCCCTTACTAACCTTCCTCCAAAAGAAAAATACAACAAACTACCAAATAGATACACACTTGCTACCTAATCTATTTAGTTTATATCCAATGTACCTAATTAGTCTTTTCTTGCATCAAACAAAAGGTTTCACAAATTTAATTACAATAGATCACAACACATCCATCATCCATGTATGTATGTACACATTTTTTTTTTTTTTTTTTTATGTATGTACACATTTTTTTTTTTTTTTTTATAATGACATCACGAATAATGATACCATACAAGAAGGTACCTTCTAGCTTACAGTAATGACATGAAATGCAAAAAGATTTTTTTTTTTTTTTTTATAATGACATCACGAATAATGATACCATACAAGAAGGTACCTTCTAGCTTACAGTAATGACAATGATGCAAAAAGAGTCTAAACAAAGACCCTACCCATGTGACACCACACATAACCCAACTTGATGTTCTCTTGAAGATGTATGTATATAACATGCATATATTAAAAATTAGTATTATGGTAAGAGATCCACATCAAAATGGAAGTCCATGGCTGCAACTATAAAATTAAACAACCATAGAAGAATAAAAACAAGGGTGGTGGGGTTCAGGTAGTAGATCAAATTTGCTTGGCAAAGGAGTATAATTCAATTTTTGAAAAAAAAAAAAATTTAATTTTTCATGATTAAGTAAAATTATTTTTTGGCTTAACTATCTAGGCTGAATCCACCACCGAGTATAGAATTAATATTTAGAGAGTTAAGATAGAAAAACTTGCAGCAGCTAGTGTGACAATTGACACCGGCCCTTGCCAGAGCTATAACGTGAAAGTTTCTTCACATTTGGCAAACCCACGTGAATATTTTCTGTTAGTATATAATGAAATTTGTTGTTTCATGTGAGTCCATGTGTTTTTGTATTTATTATTGTCTTCTTGGATATGACTTAATTTATTCATAACGCATCTGAATGTGAGAGTTTCATTTATTGCCACAGGCATCCAATTATCAAACTATATAAATCAGAAAATTTGTTGCTTTGCTAAAGCTCTGCTCTAAAACAAAATAGTCAGTACTTTTTTTTGAGTAGAATTCTTATTTTAGTGCATTACAAGTACTTGTATTTTTTTTTTTCAATGTAATTCATTTTTTTGATAATCTAAATTTAAATTAGTATTATTTAGTACAAGCCATTCTGTATAAAAGAGGGTAATTGTCGTTTTCTACAGGATATTTCACATTTTTATGCACATTTTCTTGTTCGAAAGAATCCCTGGACTTGGTTAGATTAATTGAAAATTTTTTAAAAGACCAATTTGATCTTAAGCCTTAAAGAAAGCACCTAGTGACGAAGATGTTTAATAAGATTAGTTTTCTCGAACAAGTTTTTAGTTGTTTGTACTTGTTCACTTTTTCTTTTGTTTAATGTCATTCCATTAGCACTTTCATGCTAATTCTCCCATCTGCAAATTATAAAGAGGTTAACAATTACAGCAACAGGGAGAGTAGACTGTATCTCCATGTGAACTTTATCTGCATAGTCAAGGGTTTGAAACTTGGAGTATCCACTGTTAGGATATGAACAACTAATATTATTAATTGCAAATGGGAAATTCTCAAAGAACAAATGTTACAAAGATTTGAATTTTCTATCCCCTTTGTACCATGAGAGATTAAACTCAGTCAACTTGGGCTTCATTTTGTAGATGTCCAAAAATTGTGGCCCAGAATTGATGTGGATAGTGTATCATGTAACGGGCCAAGGCCCAAAATACTTGAAATCCTTTTAAACTAGAGCTCAAAATGGATTAGATTCTAATCGAGGCTTTTGTAAGTCATTTGTGAGGGCCCAATAAAGAACTTGAGTCACCACTCTCCAATAGGTCCATTAAATCTTCCATATTTCAAGCAATCTGGTTCCTGTCTACATGCACGGTGTGTATGGACTCCCACCACCGCATCAAATCAATTAAAAATAATTTTTCGAATCGAATAAAGGAATTTTTAATTGTATACTAAAAAAATGTAAAACATTAATAATATTTAAAAAAAAATTATTTTTTAATTGACTCGATACATGAGTGTTCTCATATACAATAAACAAGCCTTATCTTATTTTATTATTATATATGACAATATCTCTCACCCCCTCCCCAATAGGTAACTATTTAAATCTTGATATTTCATTCTGCCTTTAAGAAATTTTCAATTCTCTCAATCAAAAAATAAAATAAAAAAGATAGACTATTAGGTGAGCAATTTTGAGACAATTACAAGTGCGAAGAATTGAATCATTAATGTCAATGGCATGACCACAAAGAGCATTGACTAGTCATTTTAGAGTTGGGCCAGTAGGGCTTCTCTAACTTGAAAGACCAAAGTGTTTGAACCCTAAAGACACTAAAAAAGGGTAGAGCAATCAAAAAAGTCCAAACCAATTACCCACCTTCCATTAGTTTAGTCAAAATCACCATCTAAAAAAGAAGCCCATAGAAAGGGCATCATCACATAAATTTTTCTTCTTTTCCTTTTTCTAAAGTCCAAATTCAAAGAAACTCAAGAGAAAGCTTTTAGCTTAGCCTTAAGAGAGTTAGGAAGATAGATTATTTCAAAAAAGGTAACAAATAGATGGGGACATGGTGTGGTCTTTGACAAGATGTAT